TTAACTTCAGATGTTTTTCTGTTATGTACAGTGCCTTGCGAAAGTATTCGGCCCCCTTGAACCTTTCAACATTTTGCCACATTTCAGTCTTCAAACATAAAGATATAAAATTTTAATTTTTTGTCATGAATCAACAACAAGTGGGACACACTCGTGAAGTGGAACAAAATTCATTGGATAATTTAAACTTAAAAAAAAAATAAAAAACTGAAAAGTGGGGCGTGCAATATTATTCGGCCCCTTTACTTTCAGTGCAGCAAACTCACTCCAGAAGTTCAGTGAGGATCTTTGAATGATCCAATGTTGTCCTAAATGACTGATGATGATAAATAGAATGTACCTGTGTGTAATAAAGTCTCCGTATAAATGCACCTGCTCTTTGATAGTCTCAGGGTTCTGTTTAAAGTGCAGAGAGAACCATGAAGACAAAGGAACACACCAGGCAGGTCCGAGATACTGTTGTGGAGAAGTTCAAAGCCGGATAGGGATACAAAAAGATCTCCCAAGCTTTAAACATCTCAAGGAGCACTGTGCAAGGAATTATATTGAAATGGAAGGAGTATCAGACCACTGCAAATCTACCAAGACCCGGCCGTCCCTCCAAACTTTCATCTCAAACAAGGAAAAGACTGATCAGAGATGCAGCCAAGAGGCCCATGATCGCTCTGGATGAACTGCAGATAACTACAGCTGAGGTGGGAGAGTCTGTCCATAGGACAACAATCAGTCGTGCACTGCACAAATCTGGCCTTTATGGAAGAGTGGCCATTTCTCAAAGATATCCAATAAAAGTCTCTTAAAGTTTGCCACAAGCCACCTGGGAGACACACCAAACATGTGGAAGAAGGTGCTCTGGTCAGATGAAACCAAAATCAAACTTTTTGGCCACAATGCAAAACGATATGTTTGGCGTAAAAGCAACACAGCTCATCACCCTGAACACACCATCCCCACCTCAGCTGTAGTTATCTGCAGTTCATCCAGAGTGATCATGGGCCTCTTGGCTGCATCTCTGATCAGTGTTCTCGTTGTTTGAGATGAAAGTTTGGAGGGACGGCCGGGTCTTGGTGGATTTGCAGTGGTCTGATACTCCTTCCATTTCAATATAATTGCTTGCACCGTGCTCCTTGAGATGTTTAAAGCTTGGGAAATCTTTTTGTATCCAAATCCGGCTTTAAACTTCTCCACAACAGTATCTCGGACCTGCCTGGTGTGTTCCTTTGTCTTCATGGTTCTCTCTGCACTTTAAACAGAACCCTGAGACTATCAAAGAGCAGGTGCATTTATACGGAGACTTGATTACACACAGGTGCATTCTATTTATCATCATCAGTCATTTAGGACAACATTGGATCATTCAAAGATCCTCACTGAACTTCTGGACTGAGTTTGCTGCACTGAAAGTAAAGGGGCCGAATAATATTGCACGCCCCACTTTTCAGTTTTTTATTTGTTAAAAAAGTTTAAATTATCCAACAGATTTCATTCCACTTCACAATTGTGTCCCACTTGTTGATTCATGACAAAAAATTAAAATTTTATATCTTTATGTTTGAAGCCTGAAATATGGCGAAATGTTGAAAGGTTCAAGGGGGCCGAATACTTTCGCAAGGCACTGTATTCTTTGTGTTATCACTAAGGGAATGGCACAGGTGGCTTCATGACAGGGCCCCAGCCGGGTCTCTCCTCTAACTAGACTGCCAGTGGCTGCGAAGCAGAGACCCTGTGCATCCTAGTGTTTAGAGAAAAGAGGGGAAGGGGAAGGCGGGGGAGGAGGATGGAGAGGTGGGTGGCTTTTGGGTGTTGAATGAGGGGGGCAGGGAGGTGGAGGGGTTTTTGGTGATGGGTTAGGGCCGGAGTGGGCTGAGGCAGAGGTTTTGGGTGTTGAACGAGGGAGTGGAATGGTCATGAGGTTAGGGGAGGGACTGGCTGAGGTGGTTTTTTTAGGTGAATTGGAAACCCTAGGTGGTTTTGGAGGTACATATGGGGAGTGGTTTAGCATGTTGGACAGGACTCTAGATCGAGCTAATATGGGTGTGAGAGGAATAGTCTTCATCGCCGATTTTATTAGCCCTGCAGAGTGTTCAGGTAGGTCTAACAGTGAAGGCGGGGATGAAAAACAAAGGGACGTGTCCCCATTCTCTCTTGATGGAGTGGACGTGGCAGGGGGGACCCAAGACAAGTCCATGGGAGGTGGCGAGGGAGTCTTTGATGGAGGGGCAGGTGGTTGAGGAAACCCCAGCACAGGCCTGTCTGCGGTAGCCTGGGGTGAGGATGGGGGCTTCAGAGGCGCTGTAGATGAAGAAGGCGTGACTGCTTTGGAGCAGGCTGGGGATGAGGATGTTGGTGGTGGTGGTCGTGCTGCTGGTGCTGCTACTGGTGATGATGCAGCTGCTTCTGATGACAGTGGAGGTGTTGAGATCCTTCGAGGTTGTGGAGGTGTTGAGATCCTTCGAGGTGGTGGTGGTGTTGAGATCTTTCGAGGTGGTGGAGGTGCAGAGACTTTTGGAGTTGGCTTCCTCCCTTTCGATGGCTGCACGCGCTGCGCAGGCTGAGGTCTCAGGGCAAAAGAAAGGTTATCCATCAACACTTTTACTCCGTAAGTGTTCAGATGTGGCCCTTTCCCTTCAAAAAGCTCATGCCTATTCCAGAACAGATTAAAATTCTCAATGAAGGCAAGTCCTCTGCGTGAACATTCATTGAGTAGGAAAGTATTTAGCTGATACAGACGACTGAAATAGATAAGGTGATGGTCTGTCTCTTCAAGAAGTTCCCACCCTTAACTACAGTCATGAGCTTTGGGTAATGACTATCTCCCTTAGAGATAGAGGGCCTCATGTATGAAACTTGCGTACGGCCAAATCAGGGTGTAAATGATGCGTACGCAAAAAAATTACACTTTTCTGCATTTATCAATCTGGCCGTGAGCGTCACAGAATTTAAGTCAATAGGTGGTGTAAACGTGTACGCTCATTTCACCCTTCGTCACAACACGCCAAAGCACGCACGAAATTCAAGATTTGGACAACAATAAACATGTTTCCACTCTGGCAGAATTATAAGCTGTGTTTTCATTGCGCATCATGTTTCTAAATTTGAATTTGCGCATCAGCAAAACTAATGGAAACACGCACATTTTGAACAAATCACAGATCATGATGAGGACCCTCTTCTGTTTCTATGATTTTAAATCTGACTTGTGTGTGTATTATTTTGATCTGTTTTTCAAAATGTGAAGCATTTTGTGATTCTGGACTGTAAAAAGGCTCTATCTATACAAATACACTTTACGCGACAGGGATGTGTGACCCATCTATTGCTTTGTAAATAAATCTGTGGCAGGCCTGCATGCGTTTTGCGTAATTACGCACGGCTATCTGTTTTTCCTCATTCACATCTGGTAAAGCAATGAATTATTTCATTAGATTTGTGTAAGCCTCACACAGACACACACAAACGCACTGATGTATTGCTCACTCCAAATCTCACTGCCCTGTCCAGACTCACTGCTCTGTCCAGAGTGCGCAGCGGGTGCCGTGAGAGGTCGCGCCGCAAAACTCCTGTCATTCAGAAATTTTGGCTCCAGAGTTTCTTTGTAAAATCTGGATCGCAAAAGCTCTCTCAGTGTACTTCAATGCGCACTTCTACCCCAAGCCAGGCTGCATCCAAGACGCTGCAGACGCTTCATTGATGAGAGCCATCGCTGCAATATACATATGAATTCTTTCATTCTTTATCTATTCACTTCTACAATTCAAGAGAGATTTTTCTATTGTATGAACATTTTTTTGCAAATTTGTTCAAAACGCAGCTGAATATATAGCGTATATGTATCTTTTTACGTAAACATGAACAAACAAACGTGCCTTCTTTTGAGGCTTTCAAATAATCTATTTGGCCGGCTTCCGTGCTGAACTGTCGCAAAAACGGGCGTGAAACACGCGATTGCCGCATAATTCTAGGCGTGACTTTCATAAATACGTTCGTTTTCAGCCGCGGCATTTATCAACACCCGCAGGTGCGTACGCTCAGATCTGTGGGTATCTCACACGTTCATAATCCGACGTTGGATTTTGCGTAAATGGAATATACACCCAAAATTTACACCTTTTTCTACGCAGGTTTCATACATGAGGCCCAATGTGAGGAGCTTTGCGTAGAGCCACTACTTCCTCATGTTAAGAGATTGGCCCAGGCATCTGTTTCAGACACCTTCTTGACACTTCCTTGAGGAGGTGTGCCAGGCATGTCCCATTAGAAGGAGATCCTGGGGAAGACCCAGGACCTGTTAGAGGGATTATGTCTCTCTGCTGACCTGGGAATGCCTCAAGATTCCCCCATTCCCCCGGTTGAGCTGGAGGAAGAAAATGGATGGATGGACAAACAAAAAAATATCAAGAATAAAGACTGTAAAAAGCAAACATTTGTATTTATTCAACACATATTAAAAACAATCATACAAATCAACAGGGAACACTTTGGATTCAATCACAATTTCCAGTTGAGTTGGCTAGGGCATCTGTTACCCACCTACTCGGGTAAGACCCAGGACAATTTGGAAGGACTGTATGTCTGTCAGCCGGCCTGGGGAGGGCTCAGGATTCCTCCGGATGAGTCGGATGAAGAGTGTGTGTGGAAAAGGAAGTTATGGATCCATCCATCAGAGATGCCCTATCTTTATTGAATTTAGGAAACATTATGTTTTGGGATTGTTATTAGTGCATTATTTTTAGACAATGGACAGTGGGATAAAGTGAAAACATAATGGATAAAACTAGGAGTAGCTAAAATGAAAACACTAAAATTCTTCTACTGCATCAGCAAATGTAATTTCTGTTGGATAATTTTGGAATTGACCCTGCACAAAAACTCAGTCAGGCCTTGAGTAAGAAGTTCTTCCATGGGTACAAATTGCAACACTTGCCTTGTACCTGTGTCTCCAGTTTCTTGTAAAAGTTGTGTTATTTGAGAATAAACTTGCTTCAGGACTGGCACTATTTCTACTGCGGCATCAGGACAAAAGTCGATGCAAAGGAGGAAAGCACCCACAGCGGACGTGGGACCTGGACACCTGAATGACACCAACCGAAAGCACATGTGAAGACACAGCACTACAGCAGCAGTAACACGAGTTAAAACCGAAAACAAAGGCAGCAGCAGGGCATCCCCTTGGCACAAGCGCTGGAGCGAGATTGCAACACAATTTAACAGCTCCTGTTGATATAAAGGCTCCCCGTCATGGAGGAGCATGGAACCGGTCTGCGGAAGGGCGGGTTGTGCACATAAAATCAAGTCAAAATTTCCAAAACTCTGAAACGGCTCCCAGTCTGACTGATTGCCAAACACCAAACATTGTCTTCTGTGTTGTCCCCCAGAGCTGCAGAGGTCTGCCACATCTGATAAGACCGAGTCTGGACACACCACATGACACGAGCCACAAGAGGAGGCCTTTGCCCAGTCTAATGCCTGAGCTGATGCCAGCGCTTCATTTAAGTGATTTAGCAGCTCAACATCACAGAATGGAGAGTTCCTCACAGTAGGCAGTGCAGTTCCAACAATACTGTACCACAAAGCCACTTGACAGTTGCTCGGGGGTCCCTGCAGGATACATTCTGTCCCACCAGGCTCAGAAAGGTGACTCTGTACACTCGTAACGTAGTAACTCCGATGGATTCGCTCACTCCAGCTCATGGTCTGCAGCAACCTGCGCTCGTTGAAGGAGCCGGTTTGCTTTTTCTGTCCCAAAGGTCGTCCCGCAGAGACACTGATACAGGCAGGACTCACTGTGTTACGAGATATCCACCTGCTCCGGGGCAGAAACCTCACCTAAGCAAGAGTAAATTATGAGTAATCATCAAAGACATGAAAAATATACATTTGGTTAAATCATTACCTCAAACCGCCGCAGATATTCTTGAGCAACATAATCCCTAATACGATCCAGCCTCAGCCTTTGCTCTGGGCTCATCTTTTCAAATAATTCAAGATTCTCTGAGATAGTTCCCACCTGCAGCATGTGGAAGTATAAACACATCTCCTTGTGTTGATTCATAAAAGTGTCTGGTATCAGAGTCTTTGGAAAAAGAGCTAAATGAGCTGAATTTGGCCCATAAGTTCGGATCATTTTTGAGAGCAAGGGTCGAACGGTCTCTTTGGCTTCATATTGTAAGCATACAATATATACTTCAGAGTTGCCAGCTTTGCTGGTGGCAGGTTTAAACACATTAACATTGCGGAAACAGCAGTTGAGCAGGTATAACAGACAAACGGAGGAGTGCTCGTAATGAGTGAACATTTTGAGAACAAAGGAGCCGCCTGGGCTCAGCAGCAGCAGGGCAGCTGTGACCTCGCAGTAATGAAGAGATGCCACCAGCGCCTCCTGTTCATCTGGGTTCTCCTGGCAGTCAAAACTCCCATCAGCAGTGACCAAGTCCACTCTGTACATGTTGGCAACAAACGCCTGCAGCTCCAACAAATGTTTCTGTATCATGATGTTTCCTGTGTTATCAGAGCCAAAAAACCACCAGGGCAAAGTGTTGGCAATGAGTCTGTCATCTGCAATGGTTGTGCTCCCACCATTTGCCTCGTGATAAGGATTGAGCGTATTGGCAGCCCAGCTCCAGTCAACATAACGAGTTTTTTCACTGGTTTTGATGTAATGGTTCAAAGCAGAAATAAAAGCCCCTGGAGCCTCACACAAGTGGACTGTATTTAGTTCTCCATTATGTAGGGCTTGCTCTGGGATGATATCAAAAGTACCTAAAATCTCATAAAACTTGCACCAAGCCTGGGTGCAGATTTCTGCATTTGCCACTGAGCGAACTACATTCATGACCTTTCCAGCACGATTAGTGGAGTTGGTGTGTTGGTGCCAAACTTCAACATTTTTATCACTCAGCTGGTTCTTCACTGCATTCAGTGAAGTCTTCAATGTCTCCAAATTACTGTGTTCAGAGGTAGGATATTTTAGAGACACATTAGGTTCTGGTATGTGCCAGTCTCCATTGGGAGGTTTAGTGTAAGTCCAAACTTTACTGAATAGCTCTTTAGTCTCAACCATTGTGTCCTGGTCAATATCCATGGCACTGCATCTTGTCTGTTGTTCAGTTTTCCTCCTAATCCCAGTTGCCATATTAATCCTGTGAACCTGATAAAAAATAAATTAAATAAATAAATACACAAATACATACTACTCTAGGGTAAACATACTAGTAAGTAATGTAATGAACATTTAATTTGAAAGTCAATTGTTCCCGTTCAAAGTAACAAACAAGGTATGTGACAGATGTGGACTAAACATAGATGCAAGTGCATTCTTGGTCATTTATATAATTCTCAGTAAACAATCTGATGATCTAATTACTATAATTTACTAATGGCAACTTCTAAATGTATGATGTGTGCATGCAAAAAAGTATTGCTTTGAATGGTGTCGTAATAATTAGCATCTCAAAACCAATAGAGCTCAAGTAACTCACAATATATTAATGATACTAACTCCATCAGTTTTACTCAGCACCTAACAGTACCGAATAAACAACCGCCGGATCATTATTATCTTATTATCTTAATTATTATCTTGCAGTTTATAGAATTAGCTTATCACCAGACCGCGAAGGGACATTTATGAGTGAATATTTTTATCCACAGGACACAAAAAAACAGATTTCGCCCATAATTTCACTCACCAGAAGTCTGTAAGAAGTCCGGAAATGGAACGGTCACGTGGCTGGAGGGAAGACTGCGCATGCGTCTAAGAGTCCGGCTTTTTACCCCATCACAATGACACGTAATATTGTAATTTAATGTAAATAAAATAATAATAAATACACATGATAGTCACTTCACACTGGTGGTTATACCAGAAATGTTTATTTGAAAAAAAATGTTTGATGTTTTTGGGAAGTAAACTATAATTGGGAGAGTGCAGAAGTGCATTAGGAATAAAAAAGAGCGACAACATGAACCGTAGAATGAATTATCTCTCTCTTTATCCTTCCTTATTCTTCCTAAGTATAACATTCATGTATCCTAAGTTTGACTCATTAAAACTGGAGCCGCCCTGCCTCATAAAAAGTACATTTTAAAGGAATGAAGGAGGTATTATCATTAATTCAGATGCAGTCAGTACAACAAACTGTGCTAGTTTCCTATTGATAAATCAAAACATATGAAGATAAGAAGAAAAGATAGACTTTATTGATCCACACAAGATAATTTTACTTGTCACATTTGGCATGGATAGAATCACTCAGATTTGTGCCACTTAACCCATATAAATTCAATAATATTTTTTCATGCAAACTTTATTTTCCTGTGTCTTAAAACAGACAATGAAACGCTGATGTCAAATGTGACACCAGTATTAACATCCATAATCAATATTCAATACTAAAACACCATTACTCGCTCATGACAGAAACAAGCAGGCCACTAGTAATTGTTTTGTATGTAATGGGCACAATTTGCTGTAAACAAAATTGTACTTAATATAACTTTTATAAATTTCATTTGCTATAATTTCGTGCATTAAAATACCTCAGATAATTCATGCTGAACCAATCTGTGTCACTCACTGTTATGTAAATATCTGTGGCAAGATACTGAGCTTTGTTGCTAATCTGTAGTAGGCTTTAGCTTTGGTATAGCCTTGTGCTAAATATAATCTACCTGTTCAGACAAGCAATCCTTATATCCATGCAATAGTTACATGCTTTATTTGTGTATTTAGTGAATTATGTTTTGTTTATTCAATTTACCAAAAATGAATACACATATAATGTATCCAAGATAAAGGGCGTTAAAGTGAAATCTTATTTTATCATATCACAGTAAATTATTGAATCTGTAGAAGTGATAATCTACACAAATGTTGCCAAATATGTCATGTGTCATTGGGAAACACTTCCACTGAGCTTTCAGTGCTTCACCACCTCATCAGTCTGGTAATTACATATAAAACATACAGAGGCCAACACAAATGAGTGTTCAGGTAAAAAACAAAAAACAAACAATGAATATTCAATCTTTCTCTATTGTCTGAGCACACACAAGGTGACAGAGGCCTCTCCTTCACCTGAGCACAGAGCCATAGTTGCAAATGCGTGCTTAAGTTCAGCCCTGTAGGTCAAAGATCTCCTGTCACCATTTCATTGGGAACTGCAGCAGTGATGGATGCATACGATCTCCATCCTGATGATCTAAGCTGCCTGTGTCATCCTTGGTGTATAGAAACAAGGTCACATGCATGCAAAGCCTATAATATCTAACTCAGACTCAGGTGGAATGAAACAAATATTAACCATATCAAATCCTCTATGGTAAGTTATATTATAATTAACATGTTATTATATTAGGCTCTGAAAGGCTATTTATATTTAGACATTTCAATTATGCTCTAATATAAAAATAAATTAAGGGTTTAATTAATGTCACTGCAAATTGTCACTTCTTTAATCATCTGTGGGGCTGGCATTGGAATTGATCTTTCAATGATAATGCTGTTATAGTCGGCATATTAATGAGGGCTGTATTTTTTAGAAGGTTGCAGGAATGAGATAATCATCTAAAAAGGGAATAATGCCTTTTTGTTTTCTGTTTAGACAAATGCACTGGGTTTATTTGCAGACATGAAGCCCCAAGGACTTAACAGGCAGCACTACATACAACGGTCTCATTACCATTCTCTATGGGCTTATCCTTGCAATATTTTGTTACAATTTTGGGAAGGATTATAAAAGTTGCGCCTCTGACTGTGGTTGCAGCATCTTTTATCGCTTTTGTAGTGCTTTTAGTGGATTTAGTCCTTTTGGCGTGCAGTTTAAAGCATAATCTTGTACACCGAACTCAAGCTTCACATCGCATAAATTACAAAGTCCATTACATAACAAGGCACGTTAATATGTTTGTAGATACTCTGTTTTTGAATGAGGTGATGCCCTCTAGATACTGTTCTATAGCAAGTCATTGGTCACATTTATTGTATATTCAATACATACAAGCACAGAGATATAACACTCAATCTTACAGCCAATAAACAATAACCATTCTATAAATTCATCTGTGGCCAAAGGAGTAAATCATCTAATTCAGGGCATGCTATGTAGAAGACAGTAAAGTGGATAAGCACTGTATTTATGAATATACATTTTTGGTTGCACACTTTCATTCATTGTATATGTAGATTCATATAAGTTCAATTTAATATCGTCCAAGGGAAGATCTTTAACTCATAGATACAGCGCTCATTCTTGTCATCTACAATGCAACACAAATGACAGAAAGAGTAGCCCAACACTGCCTCCTGTTGGTAGGTCTAAAGTGTTGAGCTGCACTGAAAATGAAATAGAAAACAATATCATCCAGTAGCCAGAAAGATTAATATAATTTATCTTAATCATTAATACAGTAATATAGAACAAAAACACCAAACAGGACATTTATTTTGATTGTATGTCACAAAAACATTGTGTTGGGATGTGTTTAAAAAACATTTGATTCACATTTTCAAACAGAGAAGACCCTCTTTACCATTTATTGTGCAAACAAAAAAGTTTAAATATTTCTAGTGTCACGGTAGCGGCATCGGTCAAACTATGGCACACATGTCCCCTCCACTTCACATTAACGTCTTTTGTCACTGGACAAAAGAAAGAAATCACTTTTAAAATTTGTCGATGAGGTCCATTATTGCAATGGTTGTGCTCTGTCCAAAAATGAAGGTTCCAACGACAATGGTTATGATTCCCCAAACTGTGAGAACGCCACTAAAAGTGAAAATGTCAAAATATAAAAATTTGTTTTTCAATTTTCAGTGCAAAAATGTATCACTAACTTGAATCTGCAAGACACTTGGTCTCCTTGCATAATAAAAACAAGGCAGAGGCCTGTAGAGAACAGAGACAACAGTGAATAGGACATTGCTTCCCAACATGAGGGGCAGAATATTGTTTCAAGGGTTATAGAGAGATGACACATATTTTGGGGTCCATGAGGGAAAGGTTTTATAACCCCTGGTGTAGGAAGTATTTAGTGTTTTACAATCACGGTGACAGAAACTTGAATTTCAGGATTGATAAAAGGAAGAACTTAGTAAAAGAAAATATCATTTGTACATTTCCTATTTCAATAAAATCATTACGTAGACTGATTTTTGAATACAAAACTATAATTATTTCTTTCAAATGTAAAATATATTTATTTGCCCACTAGCTTGAATGAGTAATTTATTTTTTCATTAAAAACCCATGTGGTTTGTCCCAACAGACCAAATCGGACCTTGTCCTGCTGGTGTGATCTTACTAGAAAACATGTTTTGCATACTCTGTGAGTATCATTCTGATTCTGATTCTAATTCTGATTACTACTTGTTGCTTTGGGCTGAGTGAGGGTTGTCCTCTCTGATGAAGATGTTACAGAAGACAAAAATACATGCATGTGGCAACTTCTGATAGAGCTATGTAATATAAAACATGTAACTTGTTCCTCACTTTCAAAACCATTTGGTTGATTTTTTAGTAGTTTGAAAGTTAGTTACCCCAGCTTTAAGCAATAAACGGCCTGAAGACGGAGCACAGCACTTTAAGACAGAGCTTAGGGGGTTGATGGGGGTAACCAAAACGAGAACAATTGGGACAACTGGTACAACAACTGGTACAAAGGACACCGAATGATGGAAATGGTTGAAATTTCTCACCAGGAAAGATAAAGATGAAAAAAGCACTGATTCCTCCAATCACACTGATAACTTCACCCATGTCAGGGACAAACATAGCAATGAAGAGCGTGATGGTGATCCACACAACAGTCAGGGCGACCCGACAGCGGCTTTCAAACGAACTGCTAACAATTCCATGACTGCGCCGCCTGAGCCTCAGCATCTGATTCAGAAGGACTGATCTGTAAGGAAACAAGACTGTTGACAAAGCAACCTTCAAATCTAGGGGTAATACTGGACTCAGACTTAAATTTTAATAGTAACATCAAATCAGTAACATCAGCAGCTTTTTACCATCTAAAAAACATGTTCAGGATCAAAAACATAGAGTCTAAAGCAGACTTGGAGATTCTTATCCATGCATTTGTCTCCAGTAGGTTAGACTACTGTAAGGGCCTGCTCTCGGTGCTTTCTAAACGAGCTATAAAACAGCTGCAGTACATTCAAAATGCAGCAGCTCGAGTCCTGACTAGAACCTGGTAGTGTGATCACATCTGTCCAGTTCTCAGGTCTCTGCACTGGCTTCGTGTGGCTCAGAGAGTGGACTACACATGGCCTAGCATCAAAGTAAATTAGTGACATGTTGAACCAGCTCGGACTCTGAGGACTGGCTTTCTGCTGGTGCCCAGAGTCAGAACTAAACATGGGGAGGCAGCATTTCAGGTTCATACAGTCTTCTTCTCTGACAATGTTCAAAACCAGGTTAAAACAGTTCTGCTTAGCTGTGCATTTAACTGAGGGATTTTATCTTCACTCTTTTTAATGTACTTTAGTATTTATGATTTTAATTTATTGTTTCTATCTTGCTTTGCCTTGTGTATGTGCTTTACAAACAGACTTTCCTTGCCTTGCAACGTGTCCCAATAACATGTCTACTGTCATAATTTCTAACATTACATCACATTGAATGAGTGTAAACATCATATATGTGTCTTTAAAAACGTATTGTGGTGCTTGAATTGTTTTTGTAACCAAGTTATTACGTTCATCACCATTTTTACGTTGGAGCCAAAGACGGCCCTCAGAAGGGTCTAATTTAGCCTCCGGAAGGGGTTTGTGACATAGACATTCGTAAGGAGACTCTATTCTTTCTGCTTTTGTGCTATATTGGCTGTATGTAACAAAAGACATTGGAGAAAACAATCTGTGTTTTCCTTTAAAAGTTACAAAAGTTAAGGAAACTATTGTTTTATGTAACACACAACATGAAGTAATTTGACTTCACATGAACTGCATACTCATAGCATCTTACCTGCCCAATAGAAGAATGATTGGGTATATAGTGATGATTGATATGCCGAAAAGCAGCCGTGAGATAATCATGACTACATCATTTCCAGGATACGACATGAGAATGTCAGAAGCGACGTCTCGCCCGAACGTCATGAAGCCATACACGCCTGAATATCAAAAAGTACATACTCTTATGTTGCTAATACTTCCACATGAAACCAATGCAAACTCACCAGTCAAAGTGTAAATGAGTAAACAGAAGAACATGGACACCACAGAGATGCCGACCCAGTGGGAAATCTTCTGGTTCTCCATACTGCTGTAGATGGCTATACAGGCCTCATGACACTATCATTGTTAACAGTAGAACATTTATTTTACATAATTTCAAGAGAGTTGAGTGCTGCAGTGGGTCTAACTGTGTCAGGTGATCATCAGGATAAGCAGTGGCAAAAACACTGGAAACATGAGATGAGGAAAAGTCTGAGGCACTATTTGACATTTAAGTAAAAATCGCACTGGGATGCTACATGGTCGTGACCGAAACGAGTAGAATCCCTGTACATTAAAGGATTCTCATTAATCTTACATATTCATCCACCAAGCATAAATATTATGTAAAAAAATATTTTTCTCAAAAGTTACTTTGTTATTTAGTAACAAACTTACTTAAGCAACTCTCCACAATTCAGATTAAATATCTTAACCTCTTAACCTTAATTATTGGTGTTTAACTTCAGACTAAACCCATCTGGTCCAATATCGTCAACATTTTGAATGTGAACCTCTTTTTTGCAAAACCCTTGTTTTTCTATAACCTGTGATGTAAAAATATAAACCAAAGAGTGCAACCAATTCAGTAATAATATTCAATATAGTATAAAGCAACTCAGGGTGATAATGTACTCCAATACTCCAATAGACTAAATACACTTAGATAAGTGATAATGAGTATTATTCTGAGACATTTCTGACATCACAGTATTCTTTTGAAAACACAGCTTGTCATACTACCTGTTTCTTACCTGAAAACCAAAGCAAATAGTTGGTACAACGCTGAACATTGATGCCCAGGAGCCCACTCTAAAAAAAAAAAAGGACAAAAACTGAACTTTACTCAAAATAGAGTCTTTATGTTAGCTTCAGCTCAACTGCATTGACCACTGACCCTTCAGTGTGCTCTGGAGTTATGATGACAGCATGGCTCTCCATCAAGTAATATTTTACAATCACTGCGACACAGAGGTATGTAGCAGCCAGCGTCCCAAGCACACTGGCACAAGAGTACAGGTTAGCATACTTTTCATTAAAACATTGGTAAAGCTGGTGTATCTAACTTTCAAATAGAAAAATAACTGTAACGAAATCTATCTAACTAATTCCTTTTACTTTCAAAACAGATTGGTTCTATCACTAGTTGTCACATTCATGTATCTTTGACAACTGAATTAAAATAGAGAAGCACCCTTGCTCAGCCAACCAATTTTCAGCTATAAGCATAAATTATAGAATTTCTTATAAAAAGACAACATGTGCAATACATACAGTAACTTTGACGAGAACAAAATGTAATATATATGAAAACAATGTAATATATGCAGTGTTCAAAAAGTCTGTCCTCAGATCTAAGGCCTTTTCTGATCCTTATTTTAAATCTGATGTTTTGATGTATTTGAAGTAAAAAACATTTACACTAGTAAGTGCAAAACCACGTACAGTTCTTCTAAGATCCACATTTTCAAACAAAACAAGGGCCAAAGAGTGGGCAAATTAATAGTTATAATGTTAAATGCCACTTCAACCTCTTTTTGAGGGGAGTTGGAATTTCCATCAATTATCATCCCCTTGATCCATTTCTGGGCAGGGGGTGGCAACCACTCAATTCACACGTGGTAGGTCCACAGGGGGATAGCTGCTCTGCTCTTAGCAGCCTTGATCTTTCACCAGGGGCTTCAGGCAAAATGGGGTTAAACGTCTTGCCCAAGGACACAATGACAGCAGACATCAGTGGGAGTAGGTGCAGTAGGAATTGTGGGGGGATCGGACCGTAAGGCCCAAAGGCCAATACAAAAAAAAAAATGATTTGATTTAAGGAAGCCCCTGCTCTGAATTGCATGTTTTTTGTCCACTGGAAAGCCTTGTACCTGGTGTATTTTTGGATGCCAATTTCTTTTGGGATGGACAGTGGTAAGATGATGACCAGGCACATGATGAAGAGGGCAAAGCGTTGGTCTGTGTACCAGTGATAAGGCATTTCTGCTTCAGAAGAACCAGTGGCCGTTTCATATAAAGAAATACACACTGTGGAAAAGCAAAACATTACATTTTTCATGTAGGTATGTTTTGTTCATGTGACATCACGACGCAAGCTTATAGTTTATTATTGTGGAAATTTAACTATGGTAACTGTCAAAAATATTTTAGATTTCATGAACATACACTGCTTTTGTCAGTACATATCAACTATAGTCTAAATATTTTCCTCACAAAAGTGTCTAAAAGTGGTCACAATATTTTAAAAAAACATAATGCATGTTGTTCGCCAGTAGACGTGAGCATAATGTGCCAGTGTGACTATATAATCACAATCAAACGTAGGAAAACAATTGGACATTTTATTTTTGAACATTCCTTTCAAAACTCTTTGTACGGATACCTGCCCTATAACTGGAGTGTGCAACATGACAGCAATAGATACAGCTTAGATATATAGAAGGTCAGGCCCGTCCCAAGGGGGGTGCGAGGCCCTGTGCGAACTCGAAACGCGAGGCCCTGTCCTGACACTTTTTTCCCAGATCTGAGGAAAGTTTTTCCTGTTATAATCTTTGACATGAATTCAGCACCACCTCGCGCGGTGCTTGACGAGATCAGCACGCGTGTAACCGAGTGTCTTCGCTCCTATGCAGCGTTTGGCGCGCGCACGTACACACGCACACACACTCTACGTGCAATATTGGTCGCGGTCTTTTTAGCTGACATGTCTCTTTCGTCCTGTGGCAAAATGGTAGAGCAACTCAAAAGATTGAACCAAAAGGAGTCTTTTTCTTCTAATAGTTAGATTTTGGCAAAATGCGCCAAAATGGCTATGAGGCGGAGTCAATATTATTATTTTCTCATCAAATAACGTTTTTGCCATGCCTCCACACACTCTGACAACATACACTCCTCCTCCTCCACACTGACAACAACAAAATACTCTTCACCTCCTCCTCCACACACTCTGACCACAACAAAAACACTCCAGCTAGCTAAAGCTAGACATACAGTGTGTTTGCTAATGCTTTTAAAAATATGTTTTTGATGTGGATATTCGGACTAAACATTGGCAATAGCAGCGCTCACACACCTGTCACACCGCTGATCCTCCTCCTCCTCCTCTGCTCACACAAAGGGGTCTGCTCCTCTGCTCACACCTGTCTCACTGCTCCTCCTCCGCGAGTATCCATCTCTCCTACACTGCGATCATTCCCGTTACTTTCTTTGTATCTCACTCAGACACTGCTAAAGTTATCTGACAGTTTTTTCGGAGGACCCGTTGCATACATAGCTGCCCGCGCGCCTGCCTGTTTACAAATCGCTTTTGGTGAAAATTTGACTTTACTTGTAAAAATGTTCTTTTGATCAAACGAAATCAAAGAGGTCCAGAGAAAGGGGTTTAGGGTTCCAAATTTGGAGTGCAGTCTGCCCTTTGGGGACCCTTGAACTAGTGTATTTATAAAATAAAATAAAAGGAAGGAAGATTGCGAGGCCCCTGTGTGGTGCGAGGCCCTGTGCGACGGCACAGGTCGCACAGCCCTTAGGACGGGCCTGTAGAAGGTCTATCAAGAAGAAAGCTGAGTGTGTCTTCTATACTGTCGAATGTTTGTGAATTCATGAATTCATTTACATTATTCTGTATGCAAATCAGTTGGCTCTGTGTTGTAATTAGAGTGACATAAATGCTTTAATGTTGATGAATAAAAACGAGTGTGTTCAACGTTAACATTATCTCAGAGGACTGATCTAGCATCTGCGTTGTGGCATGTCTGTGTGTTTGTAAATCCAATCGAGCACTCTGTTCACTAGAACATAGTGACAGCAGTAAAATGATTAAAGGGACTCCGTCAGAATAAAAATGGGTTTCTGCAAATGGAAATGAGATTCCTTTTTTATAGTAAAAATGGGGCCACAATGCTCCTGTATACTGGAACATGGTTTATGTTAATATAATCTGTAACTGCTATACTCTCAGCTTTATAATGGCTCTTTGGGGAAGTGATTGATTGATTTCCATAATTGTGTGTGTGCGTGTGTATGTGTGTGTGTGTGTGCATGCGTGTGCGTGTGTGTGTGTGGTTGTCTAGGCAGGATTGCACAAAAGACTACTGGACAGATTGAGCTGAAATGTGAAATGTGGTTTGCATATCAGCTGTGATGAAAAACACCATGTGTCTTCCCTCCAGATTCCAGCACTAAGCACTTACATTTCTCCAGCTGGTCCTGCACCACCACCAGAAAGGCCACGCAGATCATGAAGAGGTTGAAGCAGAAGCAGACCTCACAGAGCTGCCCCACCGCACGGCCGCACACCTCCCTCACCACATCCTGATACGTCTTCTGTCGACTGATGGACGAAGCGAAGCCAAGGATGACCAGCCCACTGATGAGGAACACCAGAGACACCTGCACACAGACGCACACAGACGCACACAAACGCACGCACACAAATGCACACAAACAGTCACAACTTTTGTCCATGTCATTTTTTTTGTTCAGGCTTCAAAAAACTATACATTTCTGATCAAAAGACGAAAACTACACATACAATGAAGCCGAGATCCATGTTGGTGGGAGGTAGGAAAAGTCTAAAATACAACATCCTAAAGCTGGGGCACCTACATTTTATAAAACATTGCTAATACATTTTGTTTTGCCCATCAGAAAGAGTTGTGTAAAAGTAAAATGTTAATGCATAATATTTAACCAAACCCAAGTTGGATTTTGTCGACTAAATTAAAATCAGAAAGTTGTCTACTAAAACAAGATGGAAACTTATGAAATCTTAGATGAGATTTTATGCAATCCTGAAAAAACTGATAATCATATTAATCAAAACTAGCTAAATCAACATTTCAAAATGCACTGCAGAATATTTGCACATGTTATCCCATAAGCCTTAATGTTTAATTTAATACACTGTATCATTATTGTTTCATACTTCCTTAAATGACCATTCTGCAGGAACTATTAAACTGTTTGATGTTTCTCCCATTCTGGACACTACCATGAACCTGAATACTCACAGAAACGGGATGCTTCATTAGAGGTGACTCGTGAAGACACCTTTTCACATTCAGGAGACAAATATGCTCTCTATGTCAAATGGGAAATAAGTCAGACTAGTCCCCTAACTTCATTAAGACAGTGATAAAGTGGGCCTTATAATGGCATATATATATAAGCCTGCACCTGTGGCACAAACAATGTATGTTCAAAATAAATATAATAATAATATCATCTACTTGAGTCAATGCATAACATCTTTGGACGGGATCAAGCGAACATTTTCGTGGTTTTTTATTTCAGTTTCCAGTTGTTTTAGTTTTTAGGACGGAGCAAGCATTTTATATGACAATTTGCGTCACAATAAAGACGCCAATCCACAGGCGCTAAAGTCCAAACAACAAAGACATGAGTTGCCGCGAACGATCTCTTGCGTTTGTTCATTTTGTGAAGGCCAGATTCAACAATAGAACAGGCTTATTAAGCTATAATGCATGTTTAGTATGATGCTCTTATTCACCTACCAGCTCCACGGAGATGGCAGTGGTCACTCCTCCCGCTTTCTCAAAGGCCCAGGGGAAGTTGAGCAGACCGGCTCCCAGTGCGGACTTGAGCATGATGAACACCGCTCCAAACGAGCCCAGTCTGGGCTGGTCCGAGTGCGAGAAGGAGCGGGAGAACAGGCAGATGCTCTCCCGGGCAAGTTCTTCCATTTTCGCGGGTGTGGGTCGTGATTTTATCTCAAAATTCAACTGGATTAGATAAATCTGGTGTCGGTACCCTAGGTGCTGCTTTGAGGAGCATGCTTTGAAGTGAAGCAGATTGAATATGTGTGTTATCCTTTATAAACTTGCAGCTCCCACTCCAGCTGTATATTGAGGTAATTAAACATTTCACTCTGGGGTGACACATTTGTCACAGAGGTGAGCATGTTTGTTCTATCTGACATGTCCAGTGTGATCCACGGGGTTCAGCGGGGCCTCTCCCTCATTGCTCCTATAGAAGTCTGTGGATTATATTGTCGTTTGGATTGCCATTATTATCACAATAAACAGAGTTTAATGAGCATAATGCTATATATGCTTTAATGGGGTGCGGTGGGGGGGATTAATTAGCATTAATGGATCTGTTTGGAGGAGCTTTGAGTAGAGTTGCTGTTCCCTCACATTGAGACATCTCACTAGAAAAGGCCTGTATAGAAAACGGTGCCCCAGAAGGTGTACCTAAACTTTTCTCTCCATTAATATTATTGCACATTTTTGTCCTAACCAAAAGAGTCTTGTAAAAGTAAAATGTTGTAAACAAATCAATACACTACATGTAATCTTGTGAGTCACTATTTGACGCTTTGGCCTTTTTTCTCTAAAAAACCTGATAGAAAGATGAGAGGCCATGAAATACATACATTACTAACCAAAATATAACCAAACTGTTTTGAGAGAACTAGTTATTTTATCAGATTGTTACAATATTTGGTTTCAAATGTGGTTTCTCACCTTTAATATAAGATACTATTGCTATTGTATAGATAGTCCCTATCTATACTCAAATCTAATTGTTGTGCCCTTGTACTAGACACTTTGCCTCAATTGGAGATCGGCTGTACCAAACAAGAACTGTAGCAAAGATAAACATATAAATTTACTGCACACTTTGTTAATACAACATAAAACTTGTGTGACTGAAACGTTTTTTTGACAAGTAGAATACGACAAATGCAAATGTGTTACAACATCTGGATTTAGGTGTGTGTTGCCGTTTTAAATGAAATATGGGACAATCAGAGATTAGAGGGAGAGCGAGGTGTTGTGGGGACATGAAGATTATCTAGCTGACTGCATACAGAACATCCCAAACTTGATTAAAACAATTTAACTGTATCTAATATAATCCCATATAAAATTGAAGTTTACAAATAATCAACAAACACTCTCATCCATTGTCGCCGATTACTCAACAATATAACGTACTAAAGAAAAACTTATTTGTGCAACTGCTGAACTGCAGATTGTTCAAAGTGTGTGAACAAATAATACAAAAGTTTTCATTAAGTAACATGTTGAAATTTAAGATGTGCACTTTGTTTTTGTCGCTATTATTTTTTGTAACAAAGCTTTTCATATTACACAAATACTTGAAGGCTCCTGATTGAAGAATCAGTTCATAGACCTGGTAACAGGCTGTATGTCCTCTGAGTGAAAAAGATATATTCACACCTTTTTTGTCTGTCTCCAGAGTCGTATTCATAGTATTTAAAAACATCTTTCTGTTCCATCAGAGTTCCAGCTGTTACACATGCAAAAGGACCATCAAGGTGCTGCAGGCTGGCAGGAACAGAGTGCTGAACGAGGACTGGTGTCTGCCTGTCTTTCCTTTGAGCGTCTCTTGGTTTGTCTGCTCGGAGGTGGGGGGACTCAGGGCTGCAGGCACAGTCGTGGGGCTCAATGTGGTGCGGCTGGCACACATCTCATACAGGTTTCCAGAAAACTCTGTCTTCCTCGACTCCTTTCGTAGAGAATCCCACACTGCTGCAGCCTCTCCAGGACATCCGGCTAGGGCAGCGTTGGCACAGTCATGAAACTCATTCCAGGACCTTTGAACAGACACTTACATGTTAATAGGATCCATTGTACATATATCGTCTAATGGCAAATCTTTTCACTGGCTTCAAGGTGCTACAATAGATCTTATCGAGACTTAGGCTTAAACCAGGAGTGTCCAATCTTTTAAGTAAGAGAGCCATTTTAGTTAACAAGATTAGTCCAGGGGCTGACATCACAGACAGAAAACTGTCTTGACTGGCATTGAGCTGTTCTGAGCTTTATGATAATCTATAACAGAGCTGAAGTTGGCCTAATGACACATGTTTACCATCTCACTAGCTAAATTAGCACCATTAACGGAAGTGACTTAATCAATAACCACAGTATGTACAAATATAGTCAACGACGTGCTGGGCTTTAGAACCAGCTCTATATTGGCTGAGCTGAAGTTGGATGGATGACAAAGTGAACTTTGTGATGTTTATGATCTCAAAGACTACTTTGAGTTAGCAAGGCAGAGGGCCATATATATATATATTTTTTTTTTTTAATGATGTATGATGTTCATCAAACTATTCTTATTATATATTGCTGTTATATGATATGTATTTGTGAATAAACTAATACATTTAAAATAAAATGAAATAAAAATCACAGGAATAGTATAAATCAGAGGCCCCACAGGTTGGCAACCCTATTAGAATTGAGGATTATATCCAACGTACAATTATTTTTGTTATAGAGTAGAACATAAATACTATTTGTATAAAGATTTCTTATAGTTGTGCTTTTGGTTTACATTTAAATTGATGAGGTAACAAGTACAGACCTGCAGATTGCATCTATGTCCTGTGTGTTTTGGTCAGGTTGATTTTCCACCAAACTGTCTCCGAGTCTCAATAAACATTGTGCAAAACTCTTGTAGATTGAGCCACAGGAAGGAGGAATCGCAGCTCCCAAACTCAAGGTGACAAAATCTGTAAAGAAGATAGAAGATTGTGTTATTTAATATTTTCTGCGATTTCGTTTTTAGGCCTGTGATATTTGTGGAAGAATGGTTCTTTCATGACAGCTGTAGAGTTGACATAGAAACAAAAGCATGAAACGGCACTAAATCCCTTATTCCTCTGGGAAAGCTTTATGCACAATTTTGTTGGTGGATATAGAGATTTACTCTCATCCGCCACACGAGTATTAGAGAGACCAGGTGCTGCTGATCCATATTGTTCCACATTGGTTGGCATCACAGACACAAAACGGTGTTACATCACAAGGAAATTAAAAACATAGAGAAATCACTGTAATGTAAAAAGCACGTTAAGAAGCACTTTAGCCAAGTGCAAGATTTTTTCAACACTTAAGTCAGGGTAATTGTAGGTAAAGTATTTGAGTCCTTTATTGAGTTTCACTTAAATTATCAGTGCTTAATCAGTTCGTTATTGTTCATTCTCATGCAGGCCCTTTCTCTCCCACTGCTGCATATAGGCTTCGTCTACTCCGCAATCTCACACTTGTACAACCCTCCTTCTCCCATCATCGGCACATCAGTGGGACCTTTAACCACAGCATTGGCTCACTTCTCAACCTCGGATTTAATTTTTGTATTCTCAATTTATGTGTCTGCAAAACCATATCAACAGTACATGCCATGAACCAACATTTAAGTATCATTTCTACCATTGGTATCTATTACACACACATCTGAGTCTTGCCAGATTAAATTGTCTGTTAACCCTAGTAAAAAAAGATTTAATTTACAACACGTAATCTGACAACTTGTTTCACTACAGTAGTCTTTTATCTTAAAACTGTAAAAATAGAAGACAATTCCTTACAGAAAAAAGTTGCAAGAGTCAGCAGCATCTTTGAGGTCATACACAGAGATTTCATCCTTCAGCTCCCTTGAGATGAGTCCCACCTCTGGATTGGAAGGCCGAGAAGTGGACGCTACAGTTTGAAAAGTCCCAAAGGTGTACGTTTATCCTCATGAGTGCCAAAAACTGTGTTGGTGTGAATGTGCCCCATTGCCCAGCACTGTCCAGCTGGATTAGCAGAGAAAAGATCTGAAGCTGCCCTGATGCTGCATGTGTTCCTGCATGTGTGTGAGGGAGGGCTGTGTGCATCAGACCAACAACGACATTGCGGATTAGTACATTCTCATTTCCGGTGTATTTACGACAATTGAAAAACAAATCAATTACTGGTCATTTTTAAAGCTTTACTTCCAATATTCCAATTTATAAAGGTGTATTTTAAATGCTTGAAATTAGATGAAAAGTAAGAAGTAAGTAAGGAAAGTGCTACATTTACAACAATATTTATTATTTGTGTATTGGCAGATGGGTTATGTTCCAGAGGGAACATGGCCCATGAGAATTGTCACATTCATGTTGAAATAATATGTTTTATGACACTTTAAACCAGGTTGGTTGAGATGAGCATCTGTCTTACGCTTGTGTGTCCTGAGCCTCCAAAGCTCTTGCTCTGCCCAGATGGCTCACCCTGTGCATTAGAGTATGTCCCACGTCACATTCATATAAGGACACAAAAGGACTCTATTGTTAATCTCCAGATTAAAGCAACCATTAAATAGAGAATAATCTGTCTGAATCCTGTCAATCAATATTGTCAGACTCTGAAATTATGTTTTCAAAACTGTGGCAAAATAGTACAATACTTCCACTATTATTTGGAAACTATAATTGAAGGTGTAAGTAGAGCTTTGGTAAACATAGTAACAAGAGTCAATAGTTTTACATTGACCAGATAATTTTTCATAGAACTAGTTTATTTAGAGCAATTATTCGTAGATAAAGGGACAGAAAAAGATAAGCATTATTGCAGGAGCTGTTGTAAAAAAGGGGGTGGCCATAAAGTTTGATCGACAGCTCTGGATTAAAGCATTATGCAAGTCTGCTGGGATTCAAAAAATCCACATGAGATTAGATCTGCCCACAGCCTTTCATTCATTTATCCCTCTCCCATGGATCAAAATGATACTATGGATCATTGAGGATGCATTGCTTGCGCACCTCCAGTTAGTAACAGCTGCATAGCCAGTCAGTAATTAAAATAGCTGTTCCATGGTACATGTAGAATATTATTATAGAGCAAAACAAACATTCTATCGTGGTTTATGGTATATACAGCAAACTGTCTTTTTCAGGAGATAGATTGAGTTTGAGCAAAAAGTTGAATAACATAAATATAAATTGATTAAATAACGTATTTCCAGAATATTCACTTTTGCTTTAATTTGCAATTAAAACTGAAAGCGACCTACAAAAGCAGACTAGGGCATTGCACAGAACCACAAACAATCTAAAAATTCATAATGTCTGCACATGTTTGGCAGTGGACCTGTACTATCAAAAGACAATTGCTGCCTAACATAAATGTATTACCTTTAATGCATGTTATTTACTCAAAAGGTTTGTGTCAAGTCTTTCAAATTCTAGAAAATAATTGCAAACTGGCTGTTGGGTGGATGTGCTCTGTACCATAACACAGAAAACCAACACTACACAAAGCCCTCTAATATTATTAAAATCACTGCTCACATTTTGATACAAAATAGACTGTCTAGGACTCACTGGTTCCATCTTTATGCTCTTTTTCCAGACATTAACACACACACACAAAATTATAAATGTATGGTCATTGAGTTGGTCTCACAACCTTCTTTTGAGAATTAGGACTGTTTACAAGTGCGGGGTGTCCAAGGCTAAAGAGGATCCTGTCCCTTTCCCGGACCTCCTCTTGCAACTTTGCTTCAGTCACCCGTAGCTGCCGGATTGTCGCTTTCATCTCCTTCATCTTGACCTCCATCAGTGCAATGATGTCCCGCTGATCATTCAATTTTCGCAGCAGTTCTGAGGAGGTTGTCCCAGTGGTCAGTGAATACGAGTGGTCCAGAGGGCTGCTAGTCACACTCACATACTGTACTGTGGGCTGGACGATGACTGCTCTTAACTCAGTCTTTGATTCATCAATTGTTGTTTCATGTTCAATGGGTGCAGTGTAACAATTCCCCTCAGTTTGAGCGGGGAGTCTTGCTGTGCCCAAATACTCTCCGTTTTGACCAATCTGGACAACAGTGATCTCATTGGTGCTAGCTTCACCACCGCCAGTTCCCTCTGTTCCTTCAGGTACAGACAAATTACTAACAACAATCCCTGAGGTGGCTGCTGGGGCAGGAGAGGGCACAGGAGCTGGTGCAGAGGCAGAAACCTTTTTCCCTCTTCCCCGCCTGCTCCTACGCTCATTTACCCCTCTTAAGGGGAATAGAGACGGGACTCGTATGGTGTAGGTTTTCCTCCCGCCTGCGAAGTGTACACTGCACACCCGGTGTCCTGTAGTGGGCTGAAAAGTACTGAAGCAGCCGCTGACCCCAGCCCTGGAGATGTTCCTGAGCCACTGTTCTCTGAGCGCTGCGTCTTTGGGAAATGTGTAGAAGCGCAGCTCACGGTCCCGATGAGAGTTGTTGTAGCAGCCAGGCACGCAGCACGTGAACCCGGGCATATTTACTGCCAATCCAAGTCTGAAAACATAAGTGGCTGTGATGAGTTCAAACAATAGTTCACTATTATTGGCTAACTATACATTTATATGAGCTTTAGCGGCCTACAAGCGAAACTACACGTCCCACAAACCCAACGGTTTCCCGTTCATGTACTACAAATGATAGCACCTGTTCGCTCCATTTACAGACTTATTACAAAATATAGGCGCAATCGGCGCTACATACGAGTTACGAACGTGAGATTTCGTAGGAAAAAGTCTGGTTTTGTTGTCCTCGCTGCACCGTCCTCCTCTCGGAACTAAAGATCCCACAATCCTTTGCGAGTCAAAGCTAAACATTTGTTTGTTAGCGCCCTCTTCTGGTTGCACAATCAATCTATTATCAAATCCACATCACCTCACAGCCATGGCCACAACCATCTAACAATCAAATTCACATTGCAAACTTGCTTAATGAGCTCCTGAACGCTTTCTGTTTGTTTCTATACAACAACTTGGCTTCCCCTTATTTTCTTACATCTCTTTCATGTATTGTCTATTTGATTTTACTTGTGCTCTATCTCTAAAAACAGTTTCAGTTTCTGAACCATTTCTGAAAAAAACTCCTAATAACGCCTAAACAATAATAATAAACATGATCTCAACAGAAGTGAACCATGGATTTATTGAACAAAGTAATATTGGTGAGCCATTTTAGATACATGTTTCGTTTATGCATCCCATTATACGTGTTTAAATCTTAGAAGTAGTTCATAATCTCCGGGTTGTCGTCTAGTCCTCCTCGTCCGCTCCAGTTACCATTAGCAACAACAGGACAGCGCCTCTCTCCCTCAATGCTCGATGTTTATTAAAGTAACAAGCTAGGTGGGTAGCTAACATACTCTTTCTTTGCTTAATATATAGTGGTAATATTATAAATGTGATTAGATAGCTATGAAGACTTTATTTAATCTAGTTCGTGGAATTGACTTAACTATTAACGAGCTAAATATCCTTGTCTGGTTCCGGGTGCTAGCCACCTTGCTAACTAATGTTAGCTGATGGAGATGCTAGTAAGCTAACTAAACATGTTTATAAACCCTCCCCAAAAACTTTGCCAACGTCTAATACTTGTGTCATTACTGTAAATTCTGTTTTCGTGACAGTATTATTATTATTTTATAAGAACGTTTATTTACATGTTCTATTTAACGCGACTCATTCAATCCTAGCTTTATCAAATGTCCACACTAGCAATGGTGACAATGTCGTATTCGTCCATGCAAGTGTCTCTTTCCTGGTTGTCAATAATATGGGCTTTTATTGTATATTCATCTAATATGCAATGCCACCGTCTGTAGAACACTGCTATGCGTCGTCATGTGCAGCCTACTGTCTAAAATCAAGTAAAACTTGATTTTATTATTATTATAATTGGTCACTGGAACAGATAGTAACTAAATGCAATATAAGGCATTGTCCACATCTCTAATCTGGTTCCCTTTGTTTTGTGTAGGCTTTCAGCAGAATATCCAGATCCCAATTCGATTCACCCAATACAGGACAATGATGATCAACGTTGTACTTCCTTGAAGTGCCACTATGCTGCCAGGCGTTGGTGTTTTTGGGACTGGGACCACAGCCAGAGTGCTGGTTCCATTGTTAAAATCTGAGGGCTTTGAGGTCCATGCTCTCTGGGGACGAAGTGAAGAGGAAGCCAGCTGCTTAGCAAAAGAGCTTGACATTCCATTTCATACAAGTCGATCAGATGATGTTTTGCTACATCAAGAGGTTGACCTTGTTTGTATCTATATTCCACCTTCAATGACGAGGCAAATTGCTGTCAAAGCACTAGGTAAATGTGGCTAAACAAATGTATCCACTGTGCAGTGTGCTCTGTGGTGTAAACACTTTACATTGTGTTATACTGAAACAGGATTCCTTCTTGATGACTACACTTTCCTGTTGTAGTTTGCAGCTTCCTGAGTTTCTTGTTAAAATCTGATGTTTATCACCCTTTTCATGGGTCTTAAATATATGTTTAATACTTTTTATTTAGAGCTTTACAACAAATACCATTAGACCTTGACCTCCTGGGTAGTACAATAGCTAAAATAGTGTGTAAGGGTCAGTCTCAGGTCATTTTCACACAGATATGAGTCAGTTTTGTCATGTTTTTAAGCAGCCAAATTCATTTTTAATTAATTCAAACAAGGAAGCTTGAGGGCTGTGTTTGGTCCCTTGGAAGGAGTTTGGACATTCTTGTTCTAGAGTACTTCCAAAGATTTCAATCACATCATATGCATTGTTTTTTCCATGGGTGTTTCTTAAGTGTTTTGTAAAAATGTGGCTGTGACAAGTGTATATCCTTGTATGTTAATAATGTTGTTGTTGTTTCAGGTATTGGAAAAAATGTAGTCTGTGAGAAAGCTGCAACTGCAGTGGACTCATTCAAGATGGTTGCTGCTGCCCGGTATTATCCTCAACTACTCAGCATAATGGGGAGTTCACTGCGTTTCCTCCCAACATTTGTTGCAATGCAAAAGCTGCTACTTGAGGGATATGTTGGAGAGGTGCAGGTGTGTGACGTACGAGTGTATGGACCCAGCCTTCTGGACGAGTCGTACGGCTGGACATGCGAAGAGCTAATGGGAGGTGGTGGACTACACACCATTGGGTCAACCATAATTGATCTTTTAAGTTTTTTAACTGGGACCAGAGCCCATCGTGTGCATGGGCTTTTGAGAACTTATGTGCAAAAGAACAATTCTATTAGAGGAATTCGCCGAGTCACTAGCGATGACTTTTGCTTTTTTCAAATGTTGATGAATGGAAATGGGTCCAGTACCAATGGAGTATGTTGCACTGTAACTTTAAATTTCAATATGCCAGGGTCCTTTGTGCACGAGGTCATGGTAGTTGGATCGACTGGGAGATTAGTTGCAAGGGGAACAGAGCTTTATGGTCAGCAAAATGGAAGTATGAATGAGGAGCTATTACTTAGAGACAAAGGCTGGAAGGGGCCAGATGTTACAGAAATACCCATGCCTCAGATACAGGGGTTGAGCGCAATGGTGAAGGCCTTAAGACAGTCTTTTCAGGCCCACAATGAGCGCAGGTCGTGGGCTCGTGGGCCTGTGGCCATTGCAACAACGTTTGAGGATGGGCTCTATGTTCAGACCGTGGTAGAAGCAATAAAGCGGTCTAGCAGCAGTGGTGAATGGGAGTGTGTAGAGATCATGAGGGAAGAACCAGACCCCAACCACAACTTGTGTGAAGCTTTGCAGAGAAATAAGATTTAGATTACTACTTCAGCGTCTATTACACTGGCCATGGCCTAGAATGTAGTTTTGTTTTAAACCTGCTGCTTAGCAAAGATAGTTTACACATAAATACTTTGTGTTATGTTTTTGTTTTATAAAGCTTTACTTGTTGGAGCTCATCCTGTTAAGCAATTAAATATAGGCAAACACTACATTTTAAAACGCCTAACTTTTCATTACTTAAAATGTAATGTAACAATTAAATGTGCACTAAGTAACTTTTCTGATTGAGGGTCTGTCGCCACTTGTTTCCACTTAGTTGTTGGAGTATATCCTATTTTTCAGCTTTATTTCTTGAGTTTTGAGATTTTTTCGTAGTGCCTTGAAAAAATAGCATTCTTACTATAAAATCTCCTTTCCACTGCCATCAAACCTGTAATGTGGCCTGGTGACAATGATTAAAGATAATCTATACTATTGGTAAAGGCATTCACCAGCAAAGTTACAGTGCTCCAAATAAGCCGGGGTGAAAATTTGAAAATCTGAAAAGAGCTTTATGTATGTACAATTTGCTTTCTTTGGGTTTAGCAGGGCTGCAATTTTTATATATAATCTTAAAAGATATATGGTAACTGGTAATTATGTTTTCAAATTCTATCTAATTTATATTTAATGTTATTTATGATTTCTAAGCTATTTTATTGACTAAACTTTGTTCCGAGAAAAGTACAACCACTGTATTGTAACTGTCAATGTGTTCTTTTTTTTATTGGTCGCATATACAGAGTTGCCTCCATGTAATCATTTATACTACGTAAACTGAATTATTAAAGATAGAGTTTGCAGATGGTGGCAGGTTGGGCAAGTATGATTAGATTGTAGTGCTTCTGTGTTGCTTCTACAATTTAAACACTTACCTCATACACAGCTGTGCTTTTCAAAAAGACCATTTGTCTTAATAAAAAGATACAGAACATAAATCTTACACATACTGTATATACCTGTTTGCACTGACGCATATTGTAATAAAAGTAGTGTGGCGCAGCTTCTGCAAAAAAAAAAAGTGGATGTAGTTATGATAAAGTCATTGAAGTGGTGCTATTTTTCACGTATTGTAATTATGTTTTGGATTGCATTGGATATACAATATTTTTTTTTATTAAATACACTTGACACTCAAGACTTTGTTGTTTCTTAGTTTGCCTCAATTCTGGGGAAAAGACTTAGATTACCTGGACTGCATATAGACTTCTAGGTATATAGAATGTTCCAGCCTGAATTGATTACTTTACCTTAAAATTAAGTAATTATTAGCTCATTTAAAAATACGTGTGATAGAAGATCCTATTCCTGGCAGTAAAATCCCAGGGAAAAGTGACGTGTCGTACGTGGGATCAAAGATGGCGGACGGCAGCTCTGTGGCAGTGAGGAGATGCGGCTCGGGTTCTGCAGTCAGTATGGACACAATATCAGCGCTGACAGAACTCGAGGATTTAGAAAACGTTTATCAGCAGCTTTGTTCAGAAGAGGTTTGTAGAGACAAAACTGGTGATATATTTGTAGCGTTGTTTGCACTTCCGGAGTCGCTGACGTTACATCGTACCACACACACGTAGCGTCTAGCCCATAAACAGTCAGAATGTGAATGTTGATTAGTTGTTTGTTTATTATATTATGTCATGGTTATTTGTCCTGCATATTTGTCCGTCTTTTCTGTTACAGAATGAAGTGGAAGCTGAACTGGATCGACTGGTTGCGCAGGAAAGCACCATCCACACAAAGATGCTGGCTTTGCAGAGAATGGGGTAACTGTAAAAGCTACTATTATAGCAAGTGGAAACGGTCATTATAATGTCCCTCTCTTTAAAGTCCTAAACTCCAGCTAATTGAGGGGGATGCCAGCCAACTGTCAGGCATGATCACTTTTACCTGTAGCTTGGCTGAAAATGTCAGCCGCAAAGTGAGACAGCTTGATTTGGCCAAAGTATGTGGGCGTTTCGTATTTTATATTTCTACAATGATGCAATTTGACTAATCACTAACATTCCCAAACCAAACTTTGTCATTTCAGACACGTCTGTATAATGTTATCCAGCGAACCGATGATATCTTAGACCTGAAGTTTTGCACAGACGGTGTTCAAACAGCGCTCCGCAATGAAGATTTTGAGCAGGCTGCAGCTCACATTCACAGATACCTTTCTCTTGACCAATCCGTAATTGAACTGAGTCGACAAGGAGAAGAAAGTATGACAACTTTATTGTGCGTTCATAATTTTTACTTGTGTTTATATTTGGTTTTGTGCTCTACATTTCTCAGGTAGTTCTGTGGACGCCAGTTTGGTTTTGCTCCAAGAGGCAGAGCAAAAACTAAAAGTTATTGTTTCTGAAAAACTGGATGAAGCCGTGGCTGCTGTTGATCTTGCACAGGTGGAAAGGTTCTTTAAAATATTCCCCTTGTTAGGACTCCATCAGCAGGGACTTTCACGCTTTGGAAAATATCTCTGTGCTCAGGTTTGTATACATCTAAACATTGCAATAATGTTTAGATAGATAATGCATTTGTATTATAAATATTTCCTTCATGCACTACAGCTTGCTGCTAAAGCTGAAGAGAACTTGATTTTAGCTACAGGAGGAGATGTGGGCGACAAGAGGGCGCCTCTTAAATTTGCGGACACATTAACGCTTTTGCTTGAAGGTATATTGATGTATATGTTAAGTATTTCTTTCTATTCTTTGAGTATAGTAACAAAAGGGGATGTGTATTGAACAGGTATTGCACGTGTAATTGAAACTCACCAGCCAATAGTGGAAACCTATTATGGCCCAGGGCATCTCTATACATTGATAAGACATCTACAGGAGGAGTGCGACAAGCAATCTCAGAAAATTGTTGAAAAGTTTATTCAACAGAGAGGATATCACAATAAGGTAGGTTTTGATGGAAAAATAATTTTATTATCTACGCTATTTTATTTTTGTCATAGTTCCAGGTAGTCCAAAACAGCATGTTGAAAACTCTTCCAGGTGAAAGGACTGAGCCCAGGTTAATAAAACATTGTACCTCTTCTTGGTGTCTAGAAATTAATATAGAAAAAAAGGTTTAATGTTTATTTTCAGGGAGTTGGATCCAGTCCTGGCAGAAGTGACATTGATGAACGCAAGAGCAGAGTTATATCTACGGTTCTTACGCCGCCGGATGCTTGCAGACTTTGAAGTTGGCGATATACAGAGCATTACAAAGGGTATTTAATGTTACTTTTATTTTTGTGTACAATATACATTATAGCTTATTTGTAATATGATATATATTTGTTTGTTGTATTGTGTTTTAATTTCAGAGCACCAGCAGAATGTAGAGAAACTTCTTAAACATTGTCAACTGAGTAGAACAATGCAAGAGCTAATTGGCTACTACATTCCAATGGAGGAGTACTACATGAGAGAATCTGTAAACAAGGTATTTTATTTGTTTGTTTTGTCTCATTTTAAGAATAAGTTACATGTTAAGATTTTTTTATATATATTGATAATACACATTTTTGCAGGCCGTTACCATGGACTCGTATGAGAAAGGCCAGCTCACATCCAGCATGGTGGATGACTGTTTTTACATTGTGAAAAAGTGTATTAGTAGAGCATTATCCAGCTCGAGTATAGACTGCTTGTGTGCCATGATCAACCACGCTAACTCTGTGCTGGAGTCGGACTTCAGGTGCATATTTACCGCTACCTTTCAGCTACCGTATTATCTAACACATCTGATCTTCAATTATCACGCGTTTCATTCTTGTACAGGGAAGTATTGTTTAATAAGTTGCGACAAGGTTTTCCAGCTACTACCCTCCAGGACATCCAGCGTGGTGTCAGTAGTGCCGTCAGTTTGATGCAAAGTAGCTTACAGCAGGGGAAATTCAACACCATGGGTATAGAAAGCACTGAAAACGCAAAGGCTGCCTTTTTGGTTGGTAATAAATGTCTTACTGTATGTAAATCTGGACATACTTGGATGCAAAGGGGGTCTTTAATTATCTTTTTTTTACCCTCAGGTGACCTTGAATAATGTTGAGGTGTGTAGTGAGAATATTTCTACTTTAAAAAGGAACCTTGAGGTAATGTTGCTGGACTTTGTTATTTAAAAAAAATCTGCGATTCTACATTTAATTTCTACTTGCAGAATGACTGCGGCAAGCTGTTTACACAGGGCACCAGCTCTGTCGAACAAGCTAAAATTGAAAGCTGTTTGTCAGATCTTGTCAACACTTCCACAAAGTTTAACGATCTTTTACAGGTACGTATTGTTGAAATACATATGCTTAATTACATTATTAAGCTGCAAAGTACGTTTCGTTTTATTATTTGTAAATCAAATACACTACATTTTTTTTGTTTTATAGGAGGGTTTAACGGAGTTGAACACGACAGCCATAAAACCTCAAGTTAAACCATGGATTAGCAGTTTTTTGTCTATTTCACATAATATTGAAGAGGTAATAATCAAAGTTTGGCAAACGAGAAACAGTATAATATAAAAGTACATTATTGCCACAGGATGAGTTTAATGATTATGAAGCCAATGATCCTTGGGTGCAACAACTCATTGTCAACTTGGAACAGCTCATGTGTGAGTTTAAGGTAATGTACTGCCTTTCAAATATTTAACTTTTAATATCCATTTAATTCATACTTTTACTGTATATTTAACAGATGGCCCTCTCACCGGTTATTTATGACACCTTGACCTGCCTAATGACCACCTTGATATCTATTGAACTGGAGAAAACAGTCCTCAAGTGCTCATTTAGTCGGGTAAGAGACTTTGTCTCACCACAAGATGGCAGCAGAACCTTCATGTGCTGCAGATATTGTATGAGGAAATGCTTTTAGGAAATTAATACTCATACTTATCTTGTAGCTTGGAGGGTTGCAGTTTGACAAAGAGCTTCGGTCTCTTGTAGCTTACCTCACAACTGTTACAACCTGGACAATCAGGGATAAGTTTGCTCGTCTTTCCCAGATGGCCATCATTCTCAACTTGGAGCGGGTAAACTTTGCATCTTAATCTATACGTTGACTCCCATAATGAATAAAGCGCTAATAGAAATTCAAATTTATGATTACTTTAATCTCTTTGTTTTAGGTAACTGAAATCTTGGACTACTGGGGTCCCAACTCTGGTCCTTTGACATGGAGACTAACACCTGCTGAGGTGCGACAGGTTCTAGCTCTCCGGATTGATTTTAGAAGTGAAGACATCAAAAGGCTGCGCCTATAACTGGCAAACCAGTTTAATCCACACTAAACAGCCATTTGGACTCTGCCAATGTTGTCAGGGGTCAATATTTACTTCTGTATAGTATGCATGTACAGTAATTAAGGATATTGTCTAATTTTGTCACTCTGTGAATAACACTTAATTTGACCTGTAACTGACTGGGAAATGAGGACAATTTGGCGCTGATGAGCAAAGCTGTGTGGCTCTCAGTGAAACAGCTCCGTAATGAAGTTCATTCCCATTAAAATGACAGAAACAGGTCAGACAGCTGATCCAGCAGAGTCATTCAATATATGAATAGCTCCTTGTCTACGTTGATGGAACACTTTTAACCTAATAAATTGAGAGCTGTGGTGCGATGCTGCTGATCCCTGCCATCCACTGGATTTCATGAAGCGCAGTCTTATTGCAATAAAACCTATTGTTCATACTCTGTACAATTTGCCTAACTAAAACAAAGCTATCAATGCAATGAAGCATTAAAAGTGGTCCACTTTCATAATTGTAGCCCAATTCCCTGTTTAACCTAACCTATTTCTGTATGCACACACTAAACTTGCAATCAAAGAGCCTTCTAAATTTGAAAGCAGGAGCATAGCTGTAATAAGGAAAAGAGTGGCTTTAATGTAAACACAACATTCGATTGGCTCAGCACAAACATTCCACATGAGAGCAACCAATAAACTACTGAATAGGATGGGATGCAGCACAAAAAAACATTCACAGTAAAAAAAAAATCTGGTATATTAATCATAATAGTAATATCATATATACAGTCTGGTGCTTTTAAGGTGGTAAGGGGTATTGAATGTAGACCAAGATGTAAAGGGGTTAGAGAATATGAAAAAGTATGGGAAGAGGAACAGCTGGGTGCACAGATGAAAATGGAGAGCTGTAGCTTTCTCTGCTGCCAGAGAAATGTTACACATGGGTAGGTCCCTGTTTACTCATGAGGGGTAAGTCCCCTGACAGAGGCTGCCTCAAATAATATTGTTCTCCTGGTGCAGTCAACTATTTCTAAACAGATTTACATAGGGATAAGTGTAAAGCACCACAAAGAGAACAAAATGCCAAAGGGGGTGCTTTGAACCCTTTGAATTATATATAGTTACAGGTATACCCTAGATTTTTATGACGTGAAATAAATAAGTGGCACAGGATTTTAGGAGGTAGGAGGCATGTAGGGCATGAGGCATAAATAAATATTTCAGTACAATATAGTTAAAATTTAAAAATATCAGAAACGATCATATGAATTTACGTTGGTTATGTTTTCTGTCTCCATTATGTTCTCAGACAGCTGGTACCAATATAGGCTTTAAGTATAGTGGCTGACTGGCGTTTTCCTCATGCTACAGGAGGCCAATGATCAGGTGCAACTTCTATTTCATAGCTTTTCAAATGTTTGATATGAGCCTGCAGACTAACCATGCCACGTATGGGTCTGAGGGAAGAGGACTTAGTGCCATGTCAATTTATTTTCTTTCCCAATTGTCACTCTGAATACAGCCTCCACTTTGATACAACCTTGATGTTTGTACACACAGCACCAGGATCTAAATCCACTAAGTATTACCTCCTTGTACATAAAACGTTTTGACATTACATTGCACACCCCACTCATTGTATTATTTTATCTAACAAGATGGATATAACCCTGGTGCTGCCGTTTCTACCTTAACAGATGTTGACAGTCATCAACAAAAATATAACATAACAAAAACATTCAGCTAAAACATTTTTTTCAATTGTAATCGAGACAACAAAAAGGAAAAAAATATAGCAGTAATCCAGGGTGTTGTCTGATGGCAGCTCTTTGGGCCCATTTGGACGTGTAGACTTAAATATTCATGTGTATTAATAACTCCTCATACTCCTCATACTCCATGACAACCTCTGTGCTTGTTCAGGCCTCAATACAAGCCACATCCTCTAAGGTTATTTGCAATAATGATGTCAGTGACGGCATCAAACACTACCTGGATGTTCCCTGTGTCTGTGGCACAGGTCAGGTGGCAATAGATCTCCTTGTTGGGGGAGCGGTTTTTACTCTCAAACTGAACCTGTATATATGCTGTAGCATCATCATAAGTATTAGCACCTGTAAAAACAAAAACATAGATCAGCCCCTTGTGCTTCAGTAGGTTTTAGCTCAGGCAAATACTCTGCTCACCTGTGTATTCTGGAAAGCAGATAGTCAGAGGGGATTTCTTAATCTTCTCAGCAAAAAGATCTTTTTTGTTAAGGAAGAGGATGATGGAGGTGTCAATGAAGAACTTGTTGTTGCAGATGGAGTCGAACAGCATAAGTGATTCGTGCATGCGATTCTAGAAAAAGCACACACAACTATTAAGTAACTGTTCTCATGAATCTTGTTTATTTGCGTGTTATGAAGGTTATATATCAAGGAAGACAGTGAAACATTTGTTGGATCAAACTTACTGTAGTCTCATCTTCATGAAGGACCTGATCATATCCACTCAAAGCCACACAGAAGATAATGGCTGTTACATCTTCAAAGCAGTGGATCCACTTCTTTCTTTCTGAGCGCTGACCTCCCACGTCAAAAAGCCTAGGGAATTTGAATGCAAATAAACAGTGAAATATAGCTGAGGGAAACCCTATTGAATACGTTAAACCTCTTTCTAAGCTGTACCTGAAATGAAGGTTTTTGAAAGTGAAGTGGGTTTCGACAATACCAGTGGTTTTCACTCTGGTTCTCAGGATGTCTTGCTCTGTGGGCTGGTAGTCTGCCGCTCCAATCCGGTCTAAACTATCCAGGTAGCTATACAAGATAGATTGGCAACATTACCTTAAAGCTTTATGGTAATTTTGTTGATACTTGACTTGTAATGCACTCACTATTGGGCCGAATCATTAAGCTGGTATTCACGAGCACGATTAAAGCACTCTTGTGTTCCAGCATCTGCCCATACACGCTTCATGGCAGTCAGAAGCTCTGCAGAGTATGGTTCTGTGTCCTCCATACGACTGACTACATCACACACTAACTTTGCATCCGCCTAACAATTTCAGAAAAGAGATGCACAAGGGTTTAGTTTCTGTTTAGCTGTTTGAATCATAGACTTAATTTAGTGAGAAACATGACCAACTTTTCTGTCTTTGTCACCAAACTCAATGCCCAACGAGTCCATGGCTCGAAGGATGGCAGCCAAGCTCTGAATGGTGTTGCTGTAGACCACTGGCTTATACTGCTTCACATCATCCCCGGAAAAGCCATCTTCATGGATAATCCTGCAAACGCACATTTCATGTATTAGCACAAAGGGAAGAGAGCGTTAAGAGAATGCACTGACACATCCCCATATGTTTCTCAACACAGTGGTCTAGTCTGGGCTCATATGTTTTTACAATGTATCTGATTGAACAAGATTACAAGATTTGTATTAAATCATTTGAACAAAAACGGACAGACATTGATCTCATCCTCAGTCACTGAGCTGTAGCTGGACAGTGGCTGTCATGTGATATTGCAGACATTTATAATTTATGACTCTCAGTGTCAGTGAATAAGTCACTGCAAATCAATCACACACACTCCACTACTACTATATTTTCCAACAAAGCAGTGTCTCAGTCTGTCAAGTGAATTGACCAATGAACCCTGCCGCATGTGAGCTCTTACAGTCTTCCTGAAGCGCAGGGGTTTATTTATACAATGAATATAAAAGCTTTTCCATTCATCAAATTATTCCTGGTTATGACACAGGGGATTCCCACTGTGTCGACAGATGTGAGCCATACAATGCTTAATCCAAACATCATATCATCATATGTGAAATGAAAATAATAAAATTCAGGGGTAATATCAAATCACGTCACTACACATCCTACCAATGCAATGCCAGGTCTTTAGATTTGTATTAAGTAGCCATTTATATTGGCTTAATAATCAAGCAGGTCAACCACATGTGACCCATCCATTCATTCTACTAACATGAATAAAAGCTGAAGCAAGAGAGGTTCCCCAATACGCTATTTGTTATATTTGTGGGTGTCAGCATGTTTAACAACTTATGACATTTCCCAATGTGATCATTAACTAAAACAAAATGTTATAATTTTTTTAATGGGAAAACCTCCTCAGAATATGTCAACCCAAACCATGCATAGTTTACACTGAGGGCCTTCAACAAAACACAAACAGAAATACTAATGAGTTAATTTTAGATAACAACTTTTCCACCAACTTGCATTTTTCACCAAGATCTCCAAAATCTCCCAGTATCCTAATAAGTAGTTGGCCAAAAGGCTATATCACAAGAGATAGCTGTGTTTGTAAACAGCATACAAAGCCCACTGTTGAAGGTGAGAGGGCACAGCAAAGAGACAGAACAGGACATAATATCAAAGCTACAATGACACTCTGGCTCTGAACCGTGTGGAAACTTCACTAAGAGGGTTATAGACAACTACTGTGATTTAAAACATCAAAGGGTGATTTAGCTTAGATAGTGGGAAGGTTTAGATGCGGGTTTGGATGTCATATTTCTCCACAAATCCGCTTTATGTAAAAGTACTGTCGGCGATATCGGGCACTTAAAGCCATTAAGATTAAAAAGGAGGCAGGATTCACTAATGGAGCAGTAGTGACCTCTAGTAGTTCACGCACGAACATAGGACAACACCCACGTATAGTCAGTCACTTCTGGCACACTTTCCCCCGACTGTGAAGCGCTCGTTAGGCGCATTTCAACAGCGCCCAGCCAACAGCGCCCTGGGACACACCGCTGAGGCCTATTAGCTGCAGTCTACACGAGCAGTAATTAAATTCATAGGTAATTGCAGAAGCGCCACTGCAGAGAAAAAAACACACAAGTTAAACTCTTGAAAACTACAATGTGTGGAAGTTGACATCTCTGGAGGCCGAGTGCTGTTGCTATGGCAGCGGCCGGTTCACGTTAGCCACATAAAACCCTTCATTCTGTCATTTAAATGCGGGTTTCCATGGCAACAGGATGTCCCAAAGTCAACATTGTGGTGGTAAAACATGTGCATTTTGTGTGAGTGCTTATGCGAGTTTTAAAAATCGGATATTTGCATCAGATCTGTGGCGAAGGACGTCGTAAGGGAAAAAAATAGGAGCTCCAATCACCGGCACTCCTCTGGGGCGACGGCCTCTCGAAACATGGCGGCTCAACCTGCCTTAGCTCAGATAACAAGGGGAGGGGATCGGGCCTTTTGCTCCTCAGACGGTAAATCTGTCTAAACGCGTAGAATAAAATGACACTTACTTCATCTGTTTGACAATGGTACTTTTTCCGGACTCTCCACCGCCTGTGAAAATGAAGACAGCCGGTGTTGAGATAAATCAGCACCATGGACAGAGCACCTCCGCCCCATGCATCCTACAATCAGGGGCAGCAGCAGCACCCCTACGGCCCCAAAACCAACCGATTCTTACCGAGTAGCAGCAGTTTCACGTCCTTTGCTGCGACCATTCCGTCTTCTTTCAGATTTTTTTCGATGGCTTTGCTCCTGTCCAGAGCAGCGCGCTCCTCGGCGCTCAGCGTACATCCCATGTTTCAAGGCGAGTGAGCAATATCCTCTCCGCCCTGTCCGCCCTGTCCCTCGCCGACTCTCAATCACTGCGATGTCTCTCCTTCAGCTCCCTCTGGCGATGTTCAGCACAGCATAAGGCCCAGAACCAGGGCAAAGTCAGGGGTTATTCTTGGTCTGTATGTTCTCTGCCTCCGTCCCCTCTCTCCGCTTCGAGGGGGTTGATAGGGATGGGTTGTCCGCCTCTGAAGCTTGATGGTTGGGGTTATTTGATGGGGAGGGGACCGTGTCTTTGAGGGCGGAGCTGGCCGCAAGAGGAAGAGGAGGAGATAACGCAGACAATCTGGCTTACGTCAGGGTAGCCGTGGTTTAGTCATGTCCTAAGAAAGAATATCGAAATAATCAAGCCATTTGAAAGTTCTTAGGTCAAATTACACACTGCTCTATTTATATGTATCTTAATCATATCCTCAATTGAAACGTTATCTTTTTTCATCAGTGTACTCAATGACCATTCCAGGCAAAGTTTAATGGACACCCACCAAATATCTTGTGTATCTTTAATAATCTACGTTAATAAGTTTGTCATGTGATGTGATGATACTCTAACCCTCTGATATAAAACAGTCTTAAAGCTGGGGTACCTAACTTTCAACCCCAAACAAACGAACCTATGCAATACATGACATATTATGTGATCTAGGAACTAATGTATATCAGTAGTTTTCATATGCATAGTTGAACTTGGTCAAATCATCTTTTTCAGACAGAAAAGTGGAACAAGAGGACCACGCTCTTTCAGCCAATCAGCCCTCAGCCCATATCGTCAAATGTTTACTTACAAGGGTCTTTTTTGTTTGTGTTAAGTTTACAATAGATAATACGTTTTCTAATAAGAAGACAGATTGTTGTGGTCTGTTTCTATTTGGACCAATAACATATTATGACAATGTTATCCTCAGCTTTAAATTTCCACAGGAGCCCAGGAGAGGTAACTTATCAAAATAAAAGTTGGGGCGACAGTAGCTCAGTTGGTAGAGCATTGGCCTTTGAACCACTAATGTCTGCTGTCATTGTGTCCTTGGGCAAGACACCAACACCTACCTAGACACCTACCTTCCCTGAAGCTCCCGCTGAAACACCAGAGCTGTGGCACCACTGATGTAGCAAACATCCTTCTGTGGATTCACCACCTGCTGGAGGATCAGTGAGGGACTGGTGCCATGAGCACTAGGTGGCAGCTCTGATTGTCACCCCCTGACCCAGAAATGGACTAATAATGGGGTAGAAAATGAATGAATGAATTAAATAAAAAGTAACCTTACCTTCTAAGCAGCTGCTTTCATGCAAATTGTAAGTCTCTTAAATTGACAATTGCAAACAGAGTATCATTATTGCTTAGTGAGTTCTTAGCAACCACACAACTTTGGCCAACAGGAAGAAGGAGTTAGTTTAGTAGCTGTAGTTTCTGTCATTATTGTTGAGGGTGTGACTTGCCTGCTGTGGCATATAATGTACAGTGTTGTTTGATAAAAGCTTCTAATCCTATGCATCACATCTGGACGGATGGTCAAGTGGAGTAAATGGGGGGTTGGGTTTAGCAGCATGAATGAAGCAGGAGAGGTCGACCTGCAGCCTCAATGCATCTGGAACGTCTTTTTGTCCCCATTGGCAGATCGAAGTGCACATACTTGAGTTAATAAGTATATTTAGTGTTTAAAGATTACAGTGCTATGAGACGCCGCCAACTGAAGCACCTGCCCTGTTTGTGGTCCACGCATGTGCACGTGTGCGATGGACAGGCAGAAATAGAGACGCGAGCAGGATTAACACTAAACTGCACCTGAGGGAATTGAGACAAAATTAGGTTTTCAGTTTTAATTACAGTAATGGAAAAATAACAAACATTTTGACAACCATTTAATTGGTGGTTGAAAAATGGGGCATGGGTCAGATATGCACTCATTGACCCCTCAAAATACAGCTTCAATCAATATATAAACTATTTTAAATGTAATAAACAATTGAGTGACATATATTTTTAACTCGTTACCCTTCCATGTAGACAATCATAAAGCATATATTCAACATCACACAATTGTACATACTTTATTCAATAATTACTGCAGCAAACCCAATACTTGGAATGATTTTGAGGCTAATTGTTTGCTCCAGAACAAGATCACTGCACTAAAATCTTTTCACCGTAAATGTCTCAAGGCTGAAGGTCCAGGATAGTTTCAGCCAAACTCATGAGTTTGCAGTCCTCCAGAGCTCTGACGAGCCGGCTCAGTTTGGCCTCCCTCCCCTCTGCTTGCATGAAGCGGTTCATCAGTTGATAGGCTTGTTCATACAGCCCCCCACGCTCATATTCATAGGCTAGATTGTCTATGGCAGGACCTTTTAGAGCTCTGCAACTCTTTCCTAAAGCTCGGCCAACAAATTTCCACTGACGTCCCACTCCGTTTGAAAAACACTGAACGTCTGCTTGTGTCAGCATTCGATCCTCTTGAAGGCAGATCAAACAGGACAAGGGAAGGCAAGAAACCAATGTTACAGTTTGCATTCATAGAAACACACATCAATAACATTTTAGTTAATCTTAAACTTATAAAAAACTTGGTAGATTGTAAATAATCAGGCCTAAAACAGGACACTTTTGGGTCAAAATTTAGGCAAACATTTCTTAAATATGACAAACCTCTTCTATAATAGCTTTAAATGTAGAGTGAATATGAAAATGAGGTTGAATAATGTTATAAGATTTCTCTAAATTGATCAATGTGAAGAGGAGTCCTACTCGGGTGTCACCACTGGTATGCATACCACATGAATAACACTGATATACTTACTAAAATCTCTATTTTGAAACTTGAAGGCATTGATGGGCACAGACTCTTCTTGTGTGTGGGGCAAAGGCTGCTGAGTGTGACTGAAAGCCTGATTTTGTAGCTGCTGCTCCAAATGTTCAATTTCTTCATCACAAAGTCGCTCTGGCTGATAACACAACAAATTATCTTATAGTTATCTTATATGGGGTACAAAAAGTAGTGACATGTAGCTTTAGATGTTAAATATTGACAAACAGGTTGATAAATACAAATGATCCACAAGTGGACAGAATTTAAAAAAATAAAAATAATATTACCTGGGAGAGATGGATTTGTTGCAGGCAAAGCTCCATTTGGTCTAGATAAGGATCCAGAGTATGTGTGCTAGCTTTGAGCTGGGTTTGCACTGTGATTTCCTGAGGCAGAGCGAGCAGCCGGCAGCCGTGTTGAGAAAGGGACTGCTGCATGGTTCCTGAGCTGTAACTCTCTAGAAATTGCTGACACGCGGACACATCCAAAAACTTTATCTCTACGCCGAGGTAAGGGTCAGCATCATGGACTTTTAATATTTCATAACCCTCCAGACCACCTGCAGAATCTGAACAGAATGTCAAAGCAGGTCAATACAAAGCTGGCCCCTTTAAGGCACCTTCGTAACAAAACGTATACCTGAAAGTGTTAGCTTGATGACTTTAAAGACAATAAACTTTCCTTTATTGTCTTTGTAGCGTGAAAGCAGGTTCACACCAGGGCAAAGTGACTGCAAAAACAGCACAGCACATCCGGTCCATGTTTTGTCTGCCATTCTTTCAACTGAAAAAAAGCATAACATGATTCAGAATCATGTGTTACGGAATATAATTACAGGAGAAGTTCAGCTTTAATATGTATGTAGTACTATTGCTTTTACACCAAATTGCTTTTTGACAAGTTCATTGAAAACCACAAAATACCAAGTCTTGTAGTAGAGAGTCTTCTCCATAACGTTGAAGTTCTTGGTTTGTCCACAGTAAACAATAAAATGTTTAAAGATACATAATCACATTACAATTAAATATTTAATATCAAGTTGTTGAGATTCTGCTATTTCCAATCATATGAAAAGGATCACAGTTTACTTAACAAATCAGCTATAGTGAATACAGTGTACAAACATATAGTGTTTCATTTCTTCATCTTATTTAGGGCGACAGTAGCTCAGTTGGTAGACATGTAAAGCGTCTTTGAGTGTCCAAAAAAGCGCTATATAAAAACCTATGTTTTTTCCCCTCAACTCTCAAAATATAATTAACACAATTAACATAATGCTCCATTAGTCGTCACCCTATCATTAATTCTAAATTATTACATGAATGATAATTTCAGTCTAAACAAAAGGTCTTTTATGTCTTCATAATAACTATGGCAAACCATGGAGAACACTTGAATTTAAAATATACTGCGTATCCACACACAAAACTATCTTTTCAAAATAAATATTAATATGAAAAAACTCAAACAATGACTTGAATATTTTGCATCATGTGTTAAACTCCTGGACTACCACCAGAGTTATACAGACCCCAGGACTAGACATTGATATTGAGATTATTGCAGCTGGAGATGAGGGATTTTGAATGGATTTACATACTTAGATATACAGAAGTACCCGACCATCACTCATTATATTTCCTCTAGTGTCCAAAAGTCTAATTTATGGTCAGAAAACCTTTGTACAGAAAACTGGTGCCGATTGCATCAGGTATGAAACTGGCATTGCTTTAGGATACCGGAATATCAGCATTCTGGGTTCAAAGTGTAATATTCAAACACAACACAAAAGCTTCCAACAATAATGTATTTCTTGCTCTTAAACATATTGTTCCCCGTGTTTAGCCTCACTCTACCTTTCCTCTTCAATCCCAACCTGCTTGTGAAACATTCATTACATAAATACATGTTTAATCTTCTCCGCTGCCCCAGCTCTCGTTGCTGGACTCTGGATGAACTAGAGCAGCCCACTGACTGCTCTTGGAGTCCGTCTGCAGGATGTGCTTGACTCTCCATCGAAAGAGCAACACTGAGCTGGATTAAATGCATGTCCACATATTTTGCTATTATAGTATGCCTGGGACCTTGGTCCACAGGAATCTAAATCAGCCACTATGTAATTATCTACAATCCTATCTATTGGTTCCCCGAAAGTATACTGTGAGATTAGTTGACCGGCTGCACAAGGATTAAATGATCATGAGAGGCTTAAAATATATATTTTTTGCTTTGGCTGCCAAAAGACAACCTCTAGTATTCCTCGAACACACTACTCATTGATGAACATTATTTTATCTAAACTAATCAAACTGTTCAAAGACCAGTTATTTATTTATATTTTACTGAACGTTTTGGAAGTTATTAGTGCAGTAAAGATTGCATTAAGGCAAATGCATTCATTATCTATATATATATATATATCACTGTATAGAAATTCAAAAACAAACAATTGCACAATGTGCACACAAGAGCAGTATTGGAAGCAGAATTAAAGCTGCACTATGTAACATTCAAGTTAGATTTGTCTTAATGCCCACAGTAGGATGTTATTGTTAGAATTGTATGTATTCTATGTTTTCTATGTATTTCTATTTTTTTTTTTTTAAGATGCGCTGAGTAATGGCTGCAAGTCCTTAGTAGCTCTGATTAACAGTTGTTGTTTTGTGCTTTACAATTTTTATTTTTAGATGTTGCAGAAAAAGCAACAGTGTGCAAAGTTTTGCACTGGTCCAGACCGGAGCAGAGAGGATTCAGGGTCCAAACCAAGCGGATCAGGTGAAAATCCACTGGAGGAATGCTGACTTTTTGAAAAATGCTAATGAAGCATTTAGCATTTTACTTTGGACAAGAGCAGAGAAAATGCTCCAAACCAAGCGGCTACTCCATCTTTTGCCCTGTCCTGCTCCACCCAGAGACTACTCCACCTCTGCTGCTGTGCACGTCCTGCTCCACCCAGAGACTACTCCACCTCTGCTGCTGTGCCCGTCCTGCTCCACCCAGAGGCTGCTCCATCTCTGCTGCTGTGACCCGTCCTGCTCCACCCAGAGACTACTCCACCTCTGCTGCTCTGACCCGTCCTGCTCCACCGAGAGGCTACTCCATCTCTGCTGCTGTGACCTGAAGGGCTGTGGCTGATTATTACTATTGTTATCTTTTATTTTTAGAATGATCAATTTTATTTTTTATTTTTGCTACTACTGGACACCTGAATTTCTCCTTCGGGGGATCAATAAAGTATCTATCTATCTATTTCTAACAATATTACAAGAAAGTCAAGTTTAGGGCAGTTTCTGATCTCAATGGCCTCATTTGAACCTGGACCTGGATTCGTTAGATAATGGCTTCAATTAAATCCAGGTTAAAGGAAAGATCAGGCTCTAGAGTTTGTATTGAATAGAAATTTCTAGTAAACTATAATTATTTATATTCACCAATTAGTCATGTTTGATGACTATGACTGAAGAGGAAAGTTGCATCCTACACATTTATTACGGGGTTCCCCTTTCTGTTGTGTACATAAAGTGGAGAAAAAAGAAAGTACATGACAAGCTCAATGTAAGAAACACAACAGAGACAGTTGTAGAATACACAGTAACATTAATCATGAATAAAATGCACAGTAAAAGAGACAAATGAAGATGCTGCTTGCACATCCAAGATTGTTTCTTTTTTGAACATACCAACCAAGTTTAGTTATTACATACACACATATATATATAATTTATATTCACATTTATATAGAAATGTATGTATTTCAAATACAAAACACGTATGTATGTATGTCTCTGTGCGTGTATGTATGCACGTTATAATATATAAATACACACACACACAAATTGAGAGCCACAGTATGGTATCCACTTGGTGCAGTTCTGTCACCTTATTACCCATGCTACGTGGGCTCGGCAGGGGATTCTGCCCTGGCATTTGGAGGATCGCAGGTGGGATGTCGTTTGTTGTGTATACTTCTACTTCAGACGTGAGAGACTAATTTGTCTCGTTTGTTACAACTTTAAAAAGTACACTCATGTAAAACAATACATTTCTAGAAACATGACACTCGTTGGTATCTTTGAGTTTAAATTATACGCAACGTGTTTAAAATCCTGCAAACTCGATTAGACATAACTTCAACACCATACAGCTAAATCAGTGTGTTTTGTCGGAGAAAGTCTTTAATAACAAACTCACCGTAAACTTTGCTCTCGACCGTCTTCCTCCAAATGTACCACACCCACTGGCACGTCACAGCCTCCACAGCGCTGATTGGCTGTCGTAAGTAAAGAGCGTGATCCTGATTGGCCAGTCCAAAAGAATTGTGCAAAACATGGAGGAAATGCTCATGGGAGGATATGAAGTTTTATGTTTACTTTTACTCGATTATGATTACAGGGGAGAGTTCATGGGTGATTAATATGAGATTAATAATTCTATACTCAAATACAATATTTAACTTAAAAAAAGCAAGTATAAAAAATACTAGTGCAAGAATTATATAGTTGTATGTATACATCTATACATGTTAACAGCATGAGGACATGGGACAAAGTGGTTAAGTGACAGTGGACACATGTAGTGAGTCAATCACTGCAACCGAATCCACATACAAATCTTTAAAAGGGTGCTAACATAATGATAGCCCAGAAACTATACCATGGATCTATAATAACTAGCTGCACAGCATTCAGTAACTAATTTAACAAGAACATATTTTGTAACTTTGTATAATGCCTTGAAAAAGTCAGCTTGTCATTGATATGTATTATAGCTAGATGAGAAAACTACTCAGACAAGAACAAAATTCACAGATTTTTATTCATAATAGACAAAAGAGAAATCGTAAAACATTCTCCCTTCTGAACGGTCACCAGATGGTTGGAAGATTTTTTGATTTACATGTTTAACAAACTTGAGCGTTTCTTTGTCTCTGTAGACCAGTGCAAGTGAATTATCTTCTGGGTACACAGTCAACAGCTGAAAAAAATAATTAGAATTACACATAATATCGTTTCAAGATTGAGCAAAATGAGTTGACGACACAGTCACGTCATAACATTTTGGGACATTGACAGATTTCATATCGTCTTCACGCTACTCCAATGGATTTGAAATCATACGAGCAATATGTTCTGTCGACTTCAATTTACTTAATCGACTTGTCGACTTAATTTGCAAGGATTTTAAATCGAATTTGGGTTCACAGTAGGTTTTGTACAGGCACTCCAGTTTCCTCCACCCTCAATTATATCACTTTCTGAGGACAAACTGGAGGGAAAATGTCCCATAAACAAACAAGATCTGAACACCATGGCCCATCCGAAGACGTAGCAATAATCATACACTTTGCAATGACAGTAAACTACTGCCATGCTTAACTTTTAACCTTAGAAGTTTTGAAGAGTGCTATATACTTTTCACCTGATGAGATCCTTCAAAGTAAAGCTAAACTAGATGCAATTGATTGCATAGCTCATGGTGGTTGTGTATTGAGTAATATACCTGTAGATGGTGTCAATGTCTTAATATTTAATATTTATATACTTACTTCTTCGTCCTCCTCATTGGCAACATAACATGTGTAGCCCCCAAACTCAGTGTTCCAGTCTTGGAAGAAAAATAAACAAAAATGACTTTGACATTGTTTTGTTGTACAATGTCATGTCAATATACTCACCAGCACACCTGAAAGGCAAAATCAGGTCCAGAGCAAACTCCGCTTGTGCAGCTTCACCATCATGTAGTAAAGTATAGCTGCCGTGACTCCATCGGCGAAGCTCCCCACTACACTTTGGTGTGCTTTCCACTTCAACCACAGACCAGTCAAGACCAGAACAAAATAACAATTTTTTTTGGTTTGTTAATTGAATGAATGATGCCTTTAAACAAAAATGCACCTTTTGTTTTATTTTCATTTTCTGCCATTTCTCCAGAAGAGGTGCCTGCTTCATTTTTTGCGTTTGCTTTAGCCTTTTGTTTCTGGTCATCATTATTATCATCATCATCATCATCACTGGGACAAAGATAGTGCAAGCGTAGGCCCGTGAAGTTGGAGAGTAATAGGAAAAAAGCCTCTGAATGTAGGAGTTCCCAACAACCGTGAACACACTCTGGTAAATCATCAAGTGAAGCCACTTCATAGAACCTAAAGTAATGCAGATAAATACACTCAGCCACATCATGCACATCATGCAGTAAAATTGGGTTAGCAGTCTGACCTTTTGTTGGCCGGCCCCTTCTTTATCCACTGAATCTGATGGTTTTGCAGAGCTGCATTTACTAGTATAAATTTTTCTTCCTGAAAAGCGAATCACAATGAACAAGTAGCACATAAATGAAAGGAGGATTTATAGAATAAAAATACCTTTAGAAAGTCTTTTAGTTGAATCTCTGAGCTTTCCTCAAACTCACCCTGAATATGCTCCTGATAAGAAATATCCAGGTAGACAGGATTCACCCACTCTATGAGAAGAGACTCCTATAGAAAAATTACAATGTTTGAAGCAACCTTATAAATGTGATAAACTAATGCTTAGAAACATTGGGATTACATCTCTTGGTAGATGAGGATTTCTCATCACAGGCGGTTCAATATAGCGTGGTGGTCGTTCTAAAGACAGTCCATGAAACCATCCACTGAGTGAAAGACGACATTTGTCTCTAGATAAAACTTCAGAGACCTAAAAAAGGCCAAAACATTCATTTATATTTATGTAGAAATATATTGAAAAACAAAACATTGCACAAGGTGATGCATCTTACTTGATGAAAAGAAATTGGAGAAACTTCAAAAATTACAATTGTGTTTCGAGAAGGCACAATTGTCTTACTGATCTCCAATGGTTGGAAATTACCTGAAGATGGAAAAGGCATAACCCATTTATAGCATTATGCTAAGACCTTAAACAAATATACTGTAGGCCTACTACAATGCTTACAATCGGTTTTGTAAAGATCAAGGTTCCCCCCGTCACTACTGACCCAATGAGGAACAAGATACAGAATAAAAGCAACACGTCTGCTTTCCAACTCATCATCATGACAAAGGAGAACATCTAGCAGAAAAAACGGAATAATACATATATGAAAAAGAAAAGATTTCAATGAATTACAATTGCTAATTTTCAGAATAATGTTACCAGTGTGCTCATATTTAGCACAAGAAATGTCGACTGTACTGTCAAGTTCAACCCCCATCACAGTCTGCAGCCATGGACGAAATTGCTGAAACATCACAGACCTGAAAATATAATTAATTTGAAATAATTATAAATACATTTCCTAATCCACCTTGCTTCAATGTTCTGGTCTGAATGCATAATTGTATTTGATCATGGGGACCTGTAACTAAAAATGCTGTTTTCATCCTACGGATTTGAGGAGACAAAAGTAAACAATAATCTTATGGTGTGATATAAGATCCTTGTGGAGAACGATTTTTGGCACACTTGAATAATCCGGAATATATACATCTATTATTAGTTACCTTACGCCTTTGATGTGTGGTTCATTTTTCTTTTGCAAGTCGTCTGACTGCACAAAAGCACCAGGTGAGTTTCACAAACAGATCAAACTGCACACACAAGGACATGTGCGTTTAAAAGGTTGACAAATACCTGTTTGAATTTGTATAAGTCGTTCGATTTCTCTTTAAAGTTGAGTCTCAGCAGTTCTTTCTCCAGGTTATCTACAAAACCCTCTTCACAAATAAAATTGTGTATAATGCAATGTGGGAAAGGATGGCAAGACAACTCAAGATCTCCTGAAAATAAAACATTTGTCAACATGTGTAATGTTCTAGCGGGGTATTGCAACGAACAACGAAATCACTGTTTTATCAATACATTATTTAATATTCACCGTGGGAATAGTTGGTTTTCTGGCTCCACGCTCGCGTCGCAGCCACTGTCACTTGTTCGTCTTCTAAAACTGAACTCAGTTTAACGAGGCTCTTCTTTCTCTTCTTCTTCACTGCAGCCCCACAGTTTACTTGAGCTCGCTTTGAAGACATTTGAGTGGTGAGTTTGAGATATATTCGTTATTAAGCCTCGTCAAACCCGTTATTATTATGGATCCATGCGTCAAACTCGGTCGCATAACGTGTACTTTGCTAGTGTCGCAGATTTGTGACGTTTATTATTTCTGCAATTCCCCGATTTTGGGCTGTCAGGCTAATAAGGACTATACAGAGATTTATGAATAAGGGAAAAAATACGTACTTACACACTTCATTATTTATTCATAGGGACAAGATTAAAGAATGAGAAACATTTCTATTATGAGAACCTCTAACTGTCATTAATCTTTGGGTTATAATATAATATATATCAGAAGGTATGTATGTATTGTGTGCGTGTGTATGTCTACACAATATATAGAAATATACAGTACAGACCAAAAGTTTGAACACACTTTCTCATTCAATGAGTTTCCTTTCTTTTCATGACTATTGACTGTAGATTCACACCCAGGCTGTGTAAGGGTTATTTGACCAATAGGGAGAGCGGTGGGCCAGATGACAATTTTCATAATCGTAAAAAAACTCTTTGAATGAGAAGGAAGGATATATATAAATATATGTGTGTGCATTCATGACTTTTCTTTATAAAAAAAAAAAAAAAAAAAACAATATATATATATATAAAACACTGGTGAAACTTTGTATTTCAACAGACCTGACTCATCCTTCGCCTTAAAAACATAGTTCCTTTGACAAAACTCATCTCTAGAAGTCAATAATAAAAATCCTGGATCCAATTTGTCAGTTATTCTTCCAGGTGTCCAGTAAGTGGTTTAACTTCTATGGAATCATGCAGGCAATGTTTAAAAATGCCAGAAGAACCACACATAAAAGCAAAATGTTGAAAAAATACCTTTCAAAATATTGATCAAAGAAGATGATTGAATATTACACGAAATTCATTATAAACATCCTTATTGTGGCTGAAAATTAAAAAAGAAAAAACGTATTATGCAAAAGTAGTTTTGAAACGCACATTCACAATAAAGACAGCAAATTTTATAAAACCATTCACATGACTGATTTATTAAAAGTGGAGGAAACATTTTACAGGGTAAAAATAAATGTTGCAAGGTTGTTTAATCAAATCCGTCCTCTTTTCGGAGGGCATAAAACCATATTTTTTCACACCTATACCTTCTACAAAAAGTCAGTATAAAAAAAAAGTAAGAGACATTGAATGTTCATTTTCTTCAAACAGCAGTATAAACACAGTTGTGGACACCGTTACGTTTGCCAACAAATTATTACTGATCTCCAAACACCAGGGCTGCACTCATAGAGACAGCCGAACTTTACCTATTCCACTTTAGTTGTAGATAAAGTTGAACCTATATAACAAACAAAATCAATTCAAACGTTAGTCCACTTTTTCAAATAAAAATAAAAAATATTTGAAAAGACAAAATACCTGCTCAAGAGCTGAGGTAAACTGGAGATTATTGGTCCGTATCCAGGCGCATTGTCATACAATTCAAATAATGGCGCTGCTACGAGTTTGTAGTTTTTGGGCACAGCAAACAAGGCTGCAAATGTCAAGAAAAAAAACATTCATGTTCTCAAATCTTTATTTACGATGACATTTAACAAAAAGTATTCTATTGCCAATTTAAAATTGTATTTGTTCAAACCTTTTTCCTGTAACTGAACCAAGAATAGCTTCTTGTGCTCTTTTGGCTTAGTAATGTGAGCCGGAATGTAGGGATACTAAAAACACAAAAGAAATATATAGTTTTGGTATCTCAAAATGTTAGTATTATTATAAACTGACCTGCGGAGGCTCAAAGTTGGGGCGCCACCAATTGCCAATGCAGTCGTCAATGACCCAGTCTTGCTTGACACCATCCTGTCTGCCGAGGATCTAAAATGTAAATGAACGTTATTGTGAGCACTGTACAATGCCATTTTTTAATGCTAATCTTTCTCACAAGCCCTACAATCATATGGCAATTCTTACAACCCTCAATTGAATTAAATACATTCATATTTATTTCAATTGACCGAAAAACTCAGAAAATGAAAGTATTACAATATCTGGATAGTCTCAGTGGAGGACTACCTGCGCTACTGTAGCTGCCTATGGAAATGTTTCCGTAGACTTCGATGTTAACAAAGGTGGCTCATCCTCAGCCTACAGGAAATCTACACCTTCCTCAAAAGGTCAGACTTAGTGGGGATTTTAATGTGTTTTTAACATTTACATCCATTGGTTTTCTATAAATCCAGAATTTAGATCAACAAACTTGGCTCGTTCTTCTCACGTTCTTGCTTCTCTCTGATCATTACACACTGGGCAAGACCGGGAGGCTGAGAAATGACCAAAAATGTATCACTTAATGTTTACCATTTTATTTGTAAACAAGAAAAGGTCTTTTAGTTACTTAAAACATCACACCTGTCGCTCTAGCTTAGTTCATTTGTCTTAACATTTTGATTGGGTCTGTGTTGACATTGTATAAAAATACTGTGACATATTGATGTTCTCGCAAACTTCTATACCTCTGTCATCAAGCGTTTCAAACCCTCTACTTCATCCTCTCCAGCATTTAACTCTCCACCAGGTCTATAAATCAGAAAATATATATCATTAATTCAATTATTAGAAATAGTATGACAAACTGAACATCAAATGTGTATGTTTAGCTCACAATTTGAAAAAGGTGGTGCCCAGTTGCAGAAGTAGGACATGGGGCAGTCTGTGTTCATGCACGATCAGCACTCCTTCCACTGTTCTCCTCATCCCCATTTTATCAAACTCTTCTCGCATTCGTTGAAACCTGGCAGCCACAGAACCATCTTTTTCATACAACGGTTCTTTGGTGCCAAACGTGTAGTTGGTCAGGGGGTAGCTGAACAAAACAAAGAACACACGTGAATGCGTTGGGGGAAATGATTCTTACTGACTAAACTTAAGTTGCGAAACATACAAAGGATCAAAACAGTATTTTCAGAGATAAAGAATTGTTGGTCATTCAGTGTCTGTTAATGAATATCGATTTTTTTGTTAAAATCGTAAATCGTCCAAGCATCGAGATTTTACTTTTTGCCATATTGCCAAGCCCCAGGTCGTTATAAAAAAGATAAAAAGGAAAAGGATAGCTTAGTCAGGATTTGGGTCGAAGTGTGAATCAGGGCTCCTTTTTGGTGATAAACGTTTCAATTACAGAGACAACATTTAATCATTAAATTAATTAATGCCACACTTTGACACGCAATGTAACTGCTACAGTTAGGACACATATTTCATATACAACATTCCTGCATCTCCATAAAAATTACTCCCTCCTTTGACTGTAATCTTCCACATCACGGTTGCTTTAAAATGGCCTGCATTTGGCTCCATCAAAGGTATAATTTTTAAAGATCCTGGAGAAAGCCTGATATTTTTTGTTCTAATTTCCACACTACAATCAGCAGTCTAAGTATGCATTTTCTTCAATGAACAATGGCCCCAACCACAATATTGCCATCCTGTTACAATGTATTATGTAGCGAATGAAATATAATCCCTTTATACGTGGCAGCTGAATATATATATTGATATATATTCAGCTGCTACTACAGGTTAGGGTAGTAAGAGAAACTCACAGGTTAATGGTCCTCTCCAGTGTGAGCGGCTTCGTGGGGCCGCTGCTGCTCATGTATTTGTTTCCAAACTGAGCGGCTCCTCCGCGGGGCCAGCCGGCGGAAGAGCGACTCGGAGGCGCCACAGACATGCTGATCGAGCTGCAGACGGAGCGAATCCTCCGGTGAGATACACTCAATGAAAGGATGTTCTTTAAACGCAAATGTAGTAATTTGCACACTCGTTTGTGCACACTCCCTCCGTCCACTGAATACTGCACTTCCGGTGAGGATTTCACAATGATATTGTCATCAGCGCCATCTATTGGCACATAAACAAAACACATTCTCTCTCTCTCTCTCTCTACTCTCTCTCGCTCTCTCTATCTCTTCTCTCTCTCTCTCATCTCTCTCTCCTCTCGTTCTCCTCTCTCTCTCCTCTCTCTCTCTCTCTCTCTCTCTCTCTCTCTCTCTCTCTCTCTCTCTCTCTCTCTCTCTCTCTCCTCTCTCTCTCTCCTCTCTCTCTCTCTGCCTCTCTCTCTCTCTCTCTCTCTCTCTCCTCTCTCTCTCTCTCTCTCTCTCTCTCTGCTCTCTCTCTTTCTTCTTCTTCTTCTTATTCTTGTGGATTTCCGGCAGACTGTGCGCCAGTCGGCGCATTGCTGCCTTTCACTGGTGGATCCAATTATTGCACCCTAGGTCCATTCAAATTCTCTGGTACAGTCCGGTACTAAAAATAAATTCCACAAGCGCACGAAAAACGTCTTGCTGCTGCACATGGGGAGCAAGCAATGACCCTCAGATTTACACTCTCAAGTCCCAGGTGAAGAGCACGAGAAAACAGCAATCTTCTTTGGGCCACATATTTCCTACATTGTAAGAGAACATGTTTCACTGTCTCTTGCTCACTGCACTCTTCACACAGGCCATCTCTGTGCTTTCCGATCCGATACAGGCTTTGAGCAAGCCCACAATGACCCAATATCATTCTGGTTATCATAACCTGCTCCTTCCTGTTATTCCCCCGGGTTGCTGTAAAAGTGCCTTCCTCTTGTCTCCCTGTCCCATGCTCTCTGCCACTGCTCACACACTCTCATTTTAATTAGATGCCGATGCTCACACACACCAAATGCCACACTCTCTATCTCTCTATTTATTTTTAAATATGTATTTATTTTTAAACAAAGACAGACAAGAGATAAGACAATGGGAATATTAGACAATGTGAATATTAATTTATTTGTCATAATTTTGTTTCTCTATTCATTTGTAAACATGATGTAATTACCACAATAGTTAATTTATATTACATAATCATACGTGCAATGTAAATCACAAACAAGAGATAAAAATAAAGATTTAACACTGCTGGATTTGTTGATACATCAAAAGGGGATTTTAGGTCTTTGGTCCAGTGGTCCACCTGCTGAGGTGTGCTCTGATGAAGGTGGTCTGTGGACCATAGGGAGGAAGTTTCGTAGATCCCCATATTCTATTTACTGTGGACTCTATAATGTTAAGTCACAGTTATTGGTCCCAAATTTAATTTGATTTAATGTTCCTCATCGGTAGACTTAATTTCTTGTTGCTTTTCATTCACCACGCCATCTCCAGAGAGTTCATCTGCTGCTCCTTTCAATGCCTCCTCTTTAGATACTGCTGATTAGAAAACTTTGAATTATCCAAATTTAAAATGTTATTTATGTTGTAAACAAATGCAAATGTACAATCAGAGCGCTTTTGAATCCATGTTTTAGTCTGTAGTTTACAGTGATGGGAAGACGGAATGTTTTAAGTGTGCAGGCCTTAAGCCTAGTGATTTCTATGTGGTTTATTGATAGTGTTAGTATACTCTGTCTGCTAAATCCTGACATAGTTTTATGAGATTCATTATTTTATATGTCATTTAACTGTGATGCGCAGTGAATAAGACACAGGTTCTTGTCTGGAAACCTAGTTATTATTAAACAGTTTTCGCACCAACACAGCAAAACAATAATAGTGGTAATAACAATACGAGTGTGTATATATGTTAGATATAAGTTATATATATGTTAGATAGTAAGTCTTCATATTTGTTAGATAGTCCACAGTCTCCTGTATATCAGCTCTGAGCCCAAATGCTTTTTCCTTTCGCAAGCACAAGCTCTCTGTCCATCGTGCCTCGTCCACCGCTCTGCTGCAGCCGCTCCGTGCTTCCTTCAATACACACAACGGACCAAATCACAGCGGAGTCCTTGCGGCGACACTTAAAGGAGCAATATGTTAAAAATTGGCCAAAGGTGGTACTTGCAGTCAACAGGTCAATTTTTTGTAAGTCCTTCTCTCACCTCTCCGCTCAGGTTGCCAGATTCACACCAAATCCAGCAGCAAAACACAGGGAATTATTTTTATCAGTTGTATGTCCCCGTCTCCATTCACATTGCCATGACAGCCGGTGCTAATGCTGAATGAATGTTTTGATTCATGTTTTTTTAATATTATTATTTGGACATTTGAGATAAAAAAACAAAAACAAAATAAAAGCAATGTATATACATAGTATATGCAAAAATAAATAAGCATTGATGTTCAAAAATAGGAGTTGGGAAGAATGGATGTTTTGGAACGTTATTTCTTCAGCGTATCAACATCAGGGTTTTGTCTCCAAGAGGATCTCACTTTACATTTTATTTATTCCCTTACATGTAAAAGTCCCCACATCAAAAAGAGACTAAACATTATGTTTATTGGGGTACATGTGGTCTTAATGATATATTTTTACAATTAAGCTATAAATCTGCAAAAACAACGTCTTGACCTTCATTCTTTTACCGTTTTTAAGAGCCATCTGGTCAAGAATGTCGATATCATGCAATAAATACCAAAAGAATAGCCGGGAATCGAACCCGGGGTCCTGCATCGTAAGCGCACAGTTTAGACCACTGAGTTCTAGTGGTTCCCAAAGTGGGGGGTCTGACCCCCCGGGGGGTCGCGGGAACCCCTGGGGGGGTCGCAAGTGATTTCCACACAAAAAAGACTATTAACTATATTTTAAGAACGTTATTAATTTTGTCCAGTCATTGCAGCGGCAATCAAAATCATCACGTAACACAGCTCACATGCGCAGCGACAAAAGCGTGTCCTGCTGATGTTTGCTAAAAACTTAAAGGTGTTTTGGAGGCTACAAATTAATAATACTCTTTTAAAATGAAACGTGGTTAATATCTACAACAGAAAAAACCGGTGGGGAGAAAAGTCACTTGTATCAGGGGGTGTATGGTGCGAAGAGAGGGAGACGAGGGCGAGGTAGGGAGAGAGGGCAGAGGAGGGAGAGAGGGCCGAGGAGGGAGGGCAGAGGAGGGGAGGAGAGGGCGAGGACGGGAGGGAGGGAGGGAGTGCAGAGGAGGGCGAGAGGGCAGCGTGAGGGAGGGCGGACAGAGGAAGGAGGGAGGAGAGAGGGCCAGCGGAGGAGGGCCAGCGGAGGGAGGGGGGCAGAGGAGGGAGATGAGGGCAGCCGGAGGAGAGAGGGCAGCGGAGGGAGAGAGGGCAAGAGGAGGGAGAGGGAGGACAGAGGAGGGAGAGAGGGGCAGAGGAGGGGAGAGAGGGCAGCGCTAGAACAGAGCTCCGTTAAAGAGGCCCGCGCTTTTCGGAGTCAAAGGTTTAAGAGGTCCGCACATTAAAAGGGGTGGCCGGTTTATGCTTTGAAACTTGACAGTAACTTTGGAAAGATGAAGCCGCGGGGATGAACGCATAAACGTAACAGCAGAAAGCGGCCACCGCCTTTTAATGTGCGGACCTCTTTAACCGGAACTACGGAAAGCGGGCCTCTTTAACGCGTGTTCTACCGCTGCCCTCTCTCCCTCCTTACTGCCCTCTCTCTCCTCCTGTCCTCCCTCTCCCTCCTCTGCCATCTCTCCCTGCCGCTGCCCTCTCTCCCTTCCCGCTGCCCTCTCTCCCTCTCTGCCCTCCCTGCCCTCGCCTGCCCTCCCTCCGCTGCCCTCTCTCCCTCCCTCTCTCTCCTCTGTCCTCCTCCCTCCTTGCCCTCTCTCCCTCCTCTGCCCTCCTCCCTCCATCCTCCTCTGCCCTCTCTCCCTCTTTCTCGGCCCTCCTCTACTATGCCCTCTTCCTCCTCTGCCCTCACTCCTCCTCTGCACTCTCTCCCTCTCTTCGGCACTTCAGCCCCTGATCAAGGGACTTTTCCTCCCCCTCCGGTTGTCTGGTGTAGATATTAACCACGGTTTCATTTTAAAGCAGGTATTTCTTTATGTGGAGCCTCCAAATACACCTTTAGTTTTAGCAAACAACAGCAGGACACGGCTTTGGCGTGCGCATGTGGCTGTGTTACGTGATGATTTGTTTGACGCTGCAATGACTGGGACAAAATTACTAACGTTATTTAAAATTTTAATTTATAGTCTTTTTTGTGTGGAAATCATCTTGCGGACCCCCACAGGGGTTCCCGCGCCCTCGGGGGGTCAGGACCCCCACTTTGGGAACCACTAGACTTAGTGGTCTAAACCTGTGCGCTTACGATGCCTGGAAACCCGGGTTCGATCCCGGGCTATGTCTTTTTGTATTTATTGCATGTTATCACAGTCTATGACAGATTGCTCTAAAAACGGTACTAAGATGAAGTTTCAAGACGTTTTTTTGCAGATAATAGCTTAATTGTAAAAATAATCATTTAAGACACCTCAATGTACCCAATTAAAATAATGTTAGTCTCGTTTTGATGTGGGACTTTTACATGTTAGGACTAAAATAAAATGTAAAGGTGTTAATCCTCTTGAGCAAAAACCCTGATGATTGGATACGCTCTGAATGAAATACGTTCCAACATCCATTCTTCCCACTCTATTTTGAACATCAATTGCTTATTTATTTTGCATAAACTATGTGTTATTACATTGCTTTTATTTTGTTTTTGTTTTTTATTCAAAGTCCAAATAATACTAATAAAAAAACATTAATTCAACACATTCATTCAGAATTAGCACGGGCTGTCAGCGGCCAATGAGGACTGGAGACGGCCGACAACTGATAAAAATAATTCCCTGTGTTTGCTGTGGATTTGGTGTGGAATTGGAACCTGAGTCAGGGATGAGTGAGAGAGGACTACAAAAATATTGACTCGTGACTGCAGTACCACACTTTGGCCAGGATTTTAACCATA